TGGATGGTATGAAAACATTACAGCAAGAAAATGGAGTATTTTGATATGTAGATTGAGCCAAGGTCCTGACTGTTTTTCTAATAGCTGATCTTACATTTGAGCATGAAGAAATAAGGAATCAGAGCAATAAATATCCTTGGATACTTTCATGATTTATTAAATTGCCAAAGAAAGGTCATTGGAGCTAAGAATAAAGATTATTTTAGAGATATATTGAAGGAAGTGGAAATGGAAAATCTAAACTTTGGAAGCAAGTTTCCAAAACACATTGACCATATTGCTTTTCAATTGTAATAACATTTGTTATTTATATATAGTATCCTGGAAGTTTTCAAGATTTTTCAAGCTTATTTATCTTCCTCATATTCACATAATGAAAAAGTTATTTTGGATTTATTGGTTGAAAGGGAAGCGTCTTCATGGATGCCAGTGTGGCAGAGAAAGAAACCCAGAATTAGACTCAAAAACAAATTTAAAAAATTTAATGGTGTAAAAGGCAATGTTGATTTCATGGATTGTTTTAAAGGATAATGATTTAGAGCTGGAAAATGCAATTATACACATGCGTGTTTAAATTAGTAAAAATTGATAAATGGATTAAAAGGCAATGTTGGTTCTATGGATTGTTTTAAGGATAATGATTTAGACTTAGAAGTAAGAAATATACAATTATATTCATGTGTGTTTAATTTAGTTTGATGACTTTTTTTTTTATTGAAAATTTTTATAAATTTTTACAAAAAAACAAAAGAATAACAATACAACAAAAAAATAGACAAAAAACTAAACAAAACAAAACAACCCTTTCCCTACCCCCCCCCCAAACCCCCACTCCCTCCCCCCCCGGAGCTTCCCAGAGCAGAATATAGGCTTAATTAAAAAAATAAAAAAGTTATATGAAAAAAGAAAATATAACTAAGATACATATATGTATATAAAAATAGAAGTTATGAAAAAGCTAAATAATATTTTTTATATCCAATTTAAATTGTATAAACTTTATCCATTTATCCCAAACAGCAAAAAATTTCTCTTGCGATTGTTCTTTTAAAAAAGCCGAAATCTTTGCCATTTCCGCCAAATAAGACACTTTAAGAAACCATTCCTGCAAAGTAGGCAAAGATTCCTTTTTCCAGTATTGTCCTACTAACAGCCTTGCGGCTGTGATCAAGTTTAACATCAATATAACCTCCTTTGTGTCACAATCAGTAACTATACCTAACAAAAATAATTGTGGAGTAAATTTTACCCTCCTTCTAAAAATTCTTTGAATATTCCACCATATCTTAATCCAAAAGGCTTTTATATTTCTACACGACCACCAAATGTGATAGTAGGTGGCATCCAAACAACCACATCTCCAACATTTAGGCTGTAGGTCAGGGTACATAAAAGACATTTTTTGTGGGTCAAGGTGCCATCTATAAAACATTTTATAAAAATTCTCCCTTAAATTCTGTGCTTGTGTAAATTTAACATTTCTCACCCAAATGGTTTCCCAGGTATCCAGTAGGACTGGTTCACCAAAATTTTGCGCCCATCTGATGATACAATCTTTAATTAATTCTGTTTCTGAATCCAATTCCACTAGAACCCCATAAATTCTCTTAATATGATTTAGTCTTTGGTCCTTCACTTGCTTAATAAAATTTTCATCTTCTCTGAGAAAACCCACCTTACGATCCATCTTCCATCTATCTACTAATTGCCTATATTGGAACCAAGTATAAGTAATGTTTTCATGTACTAACTCTTCCAATAGTTTTAACTGCCAATTTTGTCCATCCCATTGTTTTATGGAAGTTTGTTTGATATGGAAATATAAAAGTTAAATGTGGAATGAAAAAAGAAACTTGGCTTTATAGAGACTAAGAATGCATTTCTTGGAGTAAATGATTTAGACTGGAATTTTGAAATATTTAATTAATTAGGAGATTTTTGTGTATAATAATCTGTTTCGATATGGTAATTAAATGGATCGAATTTGGTTTGTTTAATGAATGGAAATAAATTAAGTCAATGATTATGATAAGCAACAAAAATGGACTTACTGGCTGAAAGGTTAAAGATAATGATCTAGATTTAGAAGTAAGAAAATTATAACTATGTGTGTAATGTTTAATTAATTAAGAGATATATGTGTATAATACGATTTGATAAGATATGATAATATTGTTTTTTTAACTAAATTAGCTATTATTGGAAGAAGAAATAAGATTGGTGATAAAAAAGGGATGAGAGAGATTAAGAACTTGAATTTATTTGCAAGAGATATTTGAAGGGGTAATATGTTGATGTAAAACATTATTTGATTATGGTAATTGAAATTGATAAAGTCTAAATAAACAGGCTTAGTAGTAATTGAAATTTAGGATAGAAATGAAATATATTAAATTTATTATGTTACTTGAGGGAAATAGAGAGATGATAGCGAATGTATTAAGTTGAGCTGTTATTCTGTGATTTTATGTTGGGAATCTTTGTTTAGCCAAACACCACGGTGTGTCTCAAACACTTTTTGTTAAAACTATAAAACCAATAAAACATATTTTTTTTAAAAAAGCCATTTCAACACTGCTTAGCAAAATGCTGTTCTAACAGATTTTCAGTTTAATAGTTACTGGTTTTGAAATCTTGTTGGATTTTTTAAGAAAAAGACAATCCAATGCATTGATGTTTTTTCCCCCAAAATAAAACTTGTCTGCATGCTTCATTTATTTTCAATAAATGTCTTCCCCTGAATTCCAAAACACCAGTTTGGCTTGATAATCAAATCCAGTCACCAGCATATATTATCATAGCAAGATATTCACTAGCTGTTTTCCTGCACATATCCAAACGAAAAGCCAATACAAACTTGCTGGGGAGGGGAGGAACAATTTTCTCTGTTCTAATTAAAACAATACCAATATGTGGTTTTATTCAGAAAGAGCTGAAAAAAAGTCCTGCCTAGAGTCCCAGAGAAAGGCTGTGAAAAAAAGTATCTAATACAGGACTAGATGGCAATGATCCAACTCTGTATAAGGCCTTTTTCTGTTAAGTAATCGTCAGCTTGGGACCACAAATGAGCACAAATTTCTGTTTCCTAAGCAAGACAGTTGTTAAGTGAGATTTGCCCCATTTTACCACCTTTCTTTCTACACTTGTTAAGTGAATCATTGCAGTTGTTGTTACACGGTTGTAAAGTGAACCTGGCTTCCTCATTGACTTTGCTTGCCAGAAGTTTGTAAAAGGTGATCACATGAGTCTGGAACACCGCAACCATCATAAATATGAGCCAATTGCCAAAGGTCCAGATTTTGATTATGTGACCATGGGATGCCGTAAGTGTATCCAATGGTCATAAAGTCACTTTTTTCAGTGCAGTTGCAACTTCCAATGGTTACTAAAGGAATGGTTGTAAATTGAGGACTATCTGTACTCCATAAAAATGGGAAATTGTAATGTATTTGGCATTGCTAAAATACAAACTTTAAAAATCTTTTTAATAAGAGATTGAGGTTATTAATGCCTATCTTTAGAATATTTTGTCAAAGGTGAGAGACTAATACTTAAACTAGAAACATTAAGCCTTGAGTCAGCTCCTCACTCTCAGCCCAACCCACTCATAGGGTTGTTTTTGTGGAGGAAATAGGAGGCAGAAGGTATGTTCATCACCTTGAGTTGATCAATAAATATATATGAATAAATATATATGAATAAAAAATCTAATAACAATAATACCATTAAAAACCTGCTAAAAGTCAGAATTCAGTTTCCTGAGACACTTTGAATCTGTGAATGCAAAAGATGGAGATAAATGATAGCTGAGTAAGGTTTCTAGAGAAGTCATTGTGACAAGAACAGAATGGGTATCTTAGATCAGGGGTCCCCAAACTGTGGACCATAGCCCACTACTGGGCTGTAGCCTATTTGCAACCAGTCAACGGGAGTGCCGAGTGCCTGCGCTCACCCCACTTATGCAAGTGACAGGTGCACACACCCACTCACACAAATGAACTGTGTGTGTGTGCACATGCCTGCCCCTTGCACAAAATCATCCCCCTTCCCCTGTGCCGGGTTGCCAACTCGGAAAGGCTGGGGAACACTGTCTTAGCTAACTCCTTGTTCTTCTCTGTAATCAGCAAAACTAAATATTGTTTCATTTTCATATTTTATATATTTCAAAACCTGGATGCAAAAATTGTTAATGCAGGATTTATATTAGAATTAATAGAAATTTCATATTTGGACTTTTAGCCCCATGGTAACCTTCAGAATAATTGATTTCTGTTCCAAGAATGTAGTGTATAAAAACATAGATTTACAGTCAACATTCAGAGGAGCAGCCTCTTCTAGATAGATTCCAGGAGAACATACATGTATTAAACATGAAAGGTAGTTTAAGAAACCAAGACTGTTCATCTTTCTTGCAAATAGCTAAACTGAATCATGGAGAGAGCGGTATTAGCTGTTGTTGATCTTGTATTTAAAATACTTAGTTACTCATAGAAAATAAACTTTGAATTTAAAGAATAATACACTGTTTGCCTCATTTTATTTTAAAAGTAACCTTCCCAAAGATTGCCTCCCAATGGCGACTGAATGTAATTCTAATAGTATGTATGGTAAGCCCACTGATGGGAAATAATGGGAATTATAGGTCAACTGGCAACTCTTTTAATCATTCTGACCAATTATATAGTGCCCTTTATGCCATTCACTATCTACTTAGTTGCCCTTAAATGCTGCTAAAACTTCATGCCTGATGGAATTTAACAGTCTTTATGACATAAAGCCAATGTATGATACTGAGCTAAAACAAATCTTAAAAGAACCAGTATATGAAATATATTAAACTGCTTATAGCATCCGATTTTTGTGAAATATTTCATTAGTACTGATTAATAAATCTTACAATATGTAAATTGAAGTAAAGTTATAATAAAATTGTCTAGACAAAATAATAAATTACTTTGCTATAACTGATTTTTCTTTTTCTTTTTTCTTTTTGCTATTAGCTGTGGATGGATTTCTGAAGACTGATGAAAGACAAAGATTAGCCAGAGAAAGAAGAGAAGAAAGAGAAAAATATTTTGGTAAGTTGTATTTTCTTAGTCAATAAACAAGAATAATCTACATACAGCCTTGAGTCTTTTGATTACTAACTATACTTAAGAAATAAGTATAGTTAATGTATAGATAGATGGAGAAATAGAGGACCCATCTTGGATTCATTAGGACGCATGTTTCTGCTGTTCTCATCTGGGATCAGAGAGATTTATTATTCTTCTAGACAGTATCCCCAGTCTTCGGCATAGTTACTGTACTTTTTGACTTTTCAGTCTACCAATGCTTCGGTATTATTAAAGCAACAAGAACTCCCTGAATATGATCAGAAACATTTGGGAATCAAACAAGCGGGGCTTTTTTTTTTTTGTCATAGAACGCCCAGAACAGAGTTCCGGCACCTTTTTTGGATGGAACCTTGTAGGGTAGGCAAGGCAGGTTGTATGACGTGTGTGAGTTATGGCACTTTTTTTTTTTTTTTTTTTTTACAAAAAAAGCACTGCGAAGCAAGCAACTTCCATTTAGAAGAATAAGGGATGTCCTGACCTAGTTTCACTCTATCAACTGTTAGGAACTCAGAGTAAACTTCTCTCGACTTAGTAAAGTATGCATATGGAAAGTTTACTCATGCTCTTATATTATATCCAGATTTCTTGGCTTGTATCTAATTTCCTAGGAAAAATATTATTTTTTTCTGCCTAAATGACCATCTGGCACTAGCATATACTAGATTGAATGTGCGCTTGTTTTCAAGAAAATAAAATGTCAGTGAGCTCAGTGCAGTTTTATTTTGTATGCTATTTCTTTATTTGACAACTAATTCTAGTTAATATTTAACTGTAAAAGAGCTGTAATGAAATATTGCAATGCATAGGGTTCCTGTTCAAGAAAGTTAAACCATGTTTTCTATTCAACAGATATTTAGTACTCTGTAACTACTGAGTACATGACCTTGTTTGACCTGTTCTGGTGATTTTCTCTACTAGAAATTGTGGCTCAGTAACATTTAACATAATTTCCCTTAGAACATTTGTTTTCTATACAGTATATACATATGCAAACTTGGGGCCCATCAAAGCTTCTGATAACTCCACCTAGGTCAGTGGTGGTGAACCTATGGCACGGGTGCCAGAGGCGGCACTCGGAGCCCTCTCTGTTGGCATGCGCGCCGTCACCCCAGTCCTAGACCTTCAGCTGGGTTTTATAAAACCTTTTTGCTTTAGGCCTCCGCCGCCATGTGCAAAAAAAAAAAAGGTTCAATCAGTCAATTTCAACTTCTCGTGGGGAAAAAAAGATCTTGCAAAGTTGGAATTGATTGATTGAACTTTTTAGTCCCACCCAGTCTGCTGTTACCACTGCAGCCATGCCCACCCAATTGGCCATACCCACCCAATGGGCCACATCCACCCGGCACTCGATGATGCATAAGTGGGTTTTGGGTTGCAGTTTGGGCACTCAATCTCTAAAAGATTCGCCATCACTGACCTAGGTCTTCATTGGTATTGGTCTGACTGCCTAAGCACTGGTTATTAGTTTAGATAACAGTTGAAATATGTGGGGTCAAGTTTTATTTGAGATTTTTAATTTATTTATTTTATTATAAGCTGTCAGAGAGCAGCAAATCTTAGAAAAAGAAAGAAGAGCAAAGCTTCAGTATGAGAAACAAATAGAAGAAAGATGGAAGAAGTTGGAGGAGCAGAGACTGAGGGAGGAGCAAAAGAGGGCAGCTGTGGAAGAAAAGAGAAGACAGAAGCTTAGAGAAGAAGAGGTAGGCAGTTGTATGCAGTATATTATTATTACCATATTTGCTGGGATGATGATTTGGAGAAAATATTTGAACATGATTTTTTAAAATATATTTTTAAATTCATAATCCCCGAGTGCTTAGAATATTTGCTTTTTTGTTTGATTAAATATATTTGTATGCTCAGCATACAATTCAGGATAACATCCTTATCAGTAAACTAATGAACAAATGATAAAAGGCAAAACGTAAAAGCATGGGGACCTGAAGAACTGAAAAAAATGCAGTCAACAGGAGTTCATTCTCTCAAGACAGTAGTATTAGTGTTTTAATTTCTTTGGAATAAAGACTCTTTGTGTGTTTTTAATACTTCAAAGATGCATTCCTATTAAGTAGCAGATTTTATAGAAGAGAACTTGGCACCCTTTAGAGACAGTAGGGTTGAGCCTGATGCTTGGCTGTGGTTATATTGAATGTAGGTTGTCATGAGGGTTTTCAGTTGCTATTTTATTGATTTAATGTTTTTATAAAAAATGTTGGTTGTTTTGTATTCTGTTTTAACTATTATGTCTGAAAGTCCACCCCTTAAATGAAATGCCATAAAATGTTCAATATTTTTTGAAAATAAGAAAGTTGTTTGAATATATATATGTGTGTGTAATATGAAATATGAGTATGGAATGGTATTACATAAGAAGAGGTAAATATATGTTATGAAAAATGATGAGGGGAAAAAAACCCTCTTATACCTGACTGAACATATTATGGTTAGCAATCTTTAAGCAAATAAGAATGATGCTATAGTCATACTGGATAGAGTGGTCATAATAATAAGTAGCCAAATTTGGCCATAGATATGTGTAATTAGAAACAAATCTAGGGATTTTGTTTTGCTTTGTTGGACTTCTAAACCTGCCACAAATGCCAGGCAGGATTTTCTGACAAAAAAATACAAAACATAGTAGGCAAAATTAAGTATCTTGCATAGTTATCAAGAACTGTGTCTCCCTAAGGAGGGGAAGAGAGTAGGATGGGAGGTGAGAAAAAGGAGGGAAGTAGGGAAAGTTTTAAGAGAGAGTGGACGCAGCCTGGGAGGAGTGCGCAGGTCATAATAATGTTTATTTTATCTTAAAGTTGTATTGTATACTTTTTTTTGTAATGTTTATATGGAAAAAATAAAAAACTTTCATTATAAAAAAAAAGGAACTGTGTCTCCCTGTGAACTGTCAGGTTGAGATAGGTTATTTATGGCTGTTATTAGAATGGCAACTTGATGGAGATATTCAAAGCCCTGTGATTGACAAGGTTCATCTCTTATTGATGAGACTCATCTCCTTATTGACATCATAGATTTACAATTAAAATGGTCAGGCTCAAAATCAAAAATGATTCATGGCACTTGTCATGGTTCCAATAGATGAAACCCATCAAAAGAACTTCAAGACAAGAATTCCTCCTCAAAGAACATTTTATTCAGGAAACAAAGTATCTGCACTACGTAGTTGAACCCAAAAATTAGATTCCCTTCCCCTAGATACAAAGTAACAAATTGCAATTCCCACCTCCAATAAGCCGTCATAAATTATATTCTCCAATTAGCCTGAAATGTGGGTTTTCTCTCCAGCTCCTCAGCCCACAAAACATTATCAGTTTGTCCTTGGGTTCCCACAAAGCAGCATTATTATTATGGCTAGCTGAGCTCAAGCATTCATCCCAACCCCTCTTCTGCACTTGATCTCTAAATAGAAGAAAAAGCATGTTAAAAGCAAAGCAAAAATGGCTGTGATTTTCATCAGTTGTCAGAGCGGGAACATCCAATGTTTACAGCGTTGACAGCAGTTTTTCCAATGTGAGTTCTTTATTGTTTCATACTTGTAGACAAAAGTTTGGCAGACTGAGGAAACTACTGTGTGCATTTACAATATCAGTTGCTTGTGGGGATGGATATTTCCCAGGTCATGGCTAAGGAATCTTTTAGTCACCTTTACTTGGGGAAATTAGTTACCTTAGATGCCAAATACTTGTCAACTTAGATGTCGACTACTAAATTAGTGTATCTACCAACATAATAACTTATAAAAGGAATTACTTATTGCCTGCACCAGGAAGCATTGCAAGATTGCAGTATAATTTTGACTTGTGAGCTCTGATGGCTATGCTTTTGTTGTTAGATTATTTTCTTTATTTAACCTGTACACCATCTTGATAGTCTCCACTTGTTATTATTACTATTTTATAAAATGACCAATATATATATAACATATTGTACCATTTTTATCTGAAACATTTCTGATAATGGGTTTATAATTTGTGGAACAAAATAAAAATATAATTTTATCACTGATTCTTGGTAACAGGTGGGTGTAATGATTAAGAAGTAGGATTAGAGGAGAGTTAGGTTCTAGTCCAGTGGTGGCGAACCTATGGCACACGTGCCAGAGGTGGAACTCAGAGCCCTGTCTGTGGGCGCATGCGCCGTGCCCCGGATATGGCGAGGGATTGCCTTCCACCACCCTGCCCCGCCCACCCAGTCTGCCATGACCACCACGGCAACGCCCACCTGGCACCCGGTGATAAATAAGTGGGTTTGGGGTTGCAGTTTGGGCACTGGGTGTCTAAAAGTTTCACTGTTCTAGTCCATTTAGCTACTTGAATAACTTTGGGACAGTCAATATCTTTCAGCCCAATATATTACCTGGAATTGTTGGGGGGGGGGGAGAGAAGAGAAGGGTACACTGACCACAGCTTCTGAAAAACGTATTGTATCTTAAGCATTGTTACAAAATAGAAAAATAGTTCTGCTGTAAAATAGTTCTGTTTTGATGCTTTTATTTTAAATGTATTACCAACTCAGTATCTCTCAGCCTCAGGATATGATACAAGCAATAAAAATAACCCCCAACAGCTATGGATAAACATCATTGCAACATCATAAACAGGAAGTTATAAAATAAAGTCCTTATAAAATAAAAGACAAGATTGTACTAAATAAGACCAATCTGTTACTAATATTAGTTTCATTTTGGGCCAAGTGATGACCTGGCTATTTTCTGAAGATGTATGTGAAGATAATAAATGTGTGTTGTTAAATATATTTAACAACAACCAAGCATGCCACTTCATGAGTTCAAACAATTTTTTTTGCATTAATTTCTATGTCTAATGATCTGTGAAGACTCTAATGTCTGTTCTGCTTGAATTATAGGTATAACATTAATTACATTTCTTATGAAAACCATCTATTTAATATTGTCATATACCAGTGATCCCTAAACTTTTTAACACCATGGACCAGTTTCGTGGAAGACAGTTTTTCCAAGGATTGGGAGGATGGTTTAGGTTTTGCTTGCTTGCCTGCTGCTCACCTCCAGCTGTGCAGTACAGTTCCTAACAGGCCACGGATCAATACCATGGAGGATCTATGCCTTATACTATCCTTTCTCAACCTCAACTAATACTCTTTCCACTCCTAACAATTCTCTTAAAATATTGCAAATAAGAGCTTTAAAGCTAAACAAATTTATAAATGTAAGTCTCTGTGATCCAAATGTAGTAGTTGAACAAGGGGGAAGATTTGAATTAGGAAATAATTGTCACACACACTACACACATACATACACAAATCTACCTCTCTCTATCTCTGTCTGTCTGTCTGTCTGTCTATTTGTCATGTACCATCTATCCATTTTGGCATATCACTTCCCGGAATGCAATCAAGATTAGGAAACAGATTTGGGAGAATAGGAAGATGACTGTACATTATTCTTAGTGGGACAATATAAACAATATGAAGAAAATTGATGAAGAAAATTGGGTAGAGTTTTTTTTTATTCCCAACCTATCCGGTTTAACAGGCATTTATTTATTTGTAGAAAGATGATAAGAATAACCAGGAATAATATATTTTTTTTAGTTACGTTTTGGATTTTTTTCTTAATTATTCAAACTGATTAAAGAAAGAAGGAAATCTATGTGAGATGGGAAAGAAGTGCAGGAACTGAGTTTGTCCACTGAAGGGAAAAAACATAGCTCTGCTGAGATGACGGAGTGACAGCTTCTCATGCATTATTCTTAAATAAATTAAGCTCAGACAGTCACGCAGCAGCAGTATTGCCAGAAGAGACAGATGCTGGGGGAGATCTAACTTGTATTACTAACTTCAGCCTCTGTAGCAACCTTAGGAGTGACTGCAGACAAAGGATATGTATATTCAGAGGTGAGTGGATATAATGGAGATCCTAATTCATTTCTTTTAACGGTGCTGATAATAAAAATGTTAAATTTATGTGCTGTCAGAATCAATCTTTTTTTAAAGATGCTTTTTAAACGAAGGCTGATTTTTTTTAAAAAAAGAACAACAAACCACCATGATGTTGCATGATTTGTTTATAGGAACGATTAGAGGCTATGATGCGGCGTTCCGTGGAACGAAGTCAGCAGCTAGAGCAGAAACAGAAGAGGTGGTCGTGGGGAGGAGGACTGGCTGCAGGCTCAGATGACAGAGATGGTGGGTGAGACTGGCTGCATTGCAGATTTTAAACTGAAATATTTGAGTTGAAAAGATAGCTGCAGAATTCCTTCTCTGTATAGAATACTATAGAGTATGAGAAAGAGTCAGGGGCATCATTCATGAAGTATATTCTATGACTTATTAAATTTTACATTCTGATTGTTTCTTGAAAGTTAGGTATGCCAGAGCATCAGTGCAGATAATGTTAGAAAAGAAATAAATTCCATTGAAATAAATCATTTTAATATTACTAGCCCTCAGCTGTGTATAACTTTGCAGCAAGTATTTTTTTTTTAATTCCAGATGCTCATAAAAGCTCAGGGGAGTTCTTCATGATTGTGCAGTATTTACAGCAAAAAATGAATTATTCTCTTAGCATTTGCTTTGGCTGCTTTCTTTTTCTTTTAAAGCAAATAATTAAATCAACCATATTCTACTTTTTATGATTTTGAAAAAACATATTTTTAATTCACCAGCTTTTTCTAGTAAATTTTGATCAAACAAAAATATTTTCTTTAATTGTAAACATCTGAAAACTAAACAATTTTGTATTAATATTTTATTGTAAAACTAGAGATAAATCACTAGGCATCACAAGGACAGTCTTGTAATGTTTCTGTAAACACACACATTAACATTCTTCTTGTATTATTGGGTTTTCATGCTTGATGTAATTATCGCCTATTTTTGCTCTGGTTTTTTCCCCTGTGATGTAGGTGAATCAGAAAATGCCCAATCCTCTCTAGGTTTAGCTGTCAACACTCTTCTTCCAGACCCTGTGGTTTCCACTGCTGCTGTTGCTGCTGAACCCTACAATGGTATTTGAGAGACTCCCAGTGCCATTGTATTGTTTATCACTATAACATATCCACTGATCTTGTCCTTCCTTTAATGGCTGTGTTCTCTGTTATTTCAGTTACAACTATAACAGCGTTCTTATTGGAAATTCAGGGCCAATTCTCCCAAGTGCTATTGTTGCTCTTTTTTCATTTAATAATAACATATCCCATTAAAATAAATGGAAGTTGTGCAGCAGGAGGACTTGGTAAATTGCACCTAGGCACTTCACTGTATTTCTTTTTCAGTTCTTTCATAATGAGGTAAAGCATGCTCAGCATTTCAGCATCACTGATATTTCAAAATATTTTTTTCCATTAGCATTTGACCTTTTCATCTCCTTTGTCCATCTGTGGGATCTGTGTGTGTGTTCATGTATCATATATGTGAGACTAGAAATGAAAAATGAGTAGAAACATAACTAACTGAAAATATTTCAGTTATACAGTATACATAAGCACTAATGCTACTTTGAAGTAGAAATAAGAATAACTTAATTTCTTATTTTGTTGCCTCGTATGAACATTAAGTCTTCATATATTTAAATGGCTAGGTACAAACAGTTCATTTGTATCTCAAATTGCTTTCAATTATGTATTTAGCTTAATTATTAAAATTAATTTGCATATGTTTTTATGTGGAAGGTTGCCTTTGTTTAATGACATATATATAGCAACTAAAAATATTTTTGTTCTTATTGTTTTTCTCTATGCCGTATTAGAGCACATACTTTGAAAGAGGAAATAGAACCGCACTGAATGACAGGCATTTTTAATTTTATTTTTGCTAATACATGAATATGGATCTCTAACCAAACAGGCCTATTTTGTATAGATTTCAGCAGAATTCAGAACCCCAGTCTTCCAAGGCTATGTCTGCCCATAGAGATTTCCTGCACAGACATAAATGTTCAATATCTGGGTGCCATAGAACGTAGAAAAGACACTGATGTGAAGTAATGGTTTATTTCAAACTATGAGTTATACAGGAAGGGGTTCACATTGTTTCCAACATTCTCACCTTTGGAACTGTTTTTAACAATTATAGAGAGATATAGGAGTTTTATAACAAAAGAATAAAATCATGAGTCATAGCAGCATGAGTAAAAAGCAGAGGCTGTATAAATATGAGCTGGCTCCAATTGATTTTGGGGGATTAGATATGCTTAGAATGTTTATTAACTTCACTAGCTTTTAGACTCATCAGAAATGTGGGGGAGATTCATGGAATACTGTAGTTACTACATATGATTGGATTTAAAGTAGGGAATAAAGAATAAAAAGCTTCATGTTGTGTTAAAATCTTTTCACCAGACACTATTAAGATGTAGCCAATAGAGTATATCATTAATTGATTAAATACATCAGTATTTTGAGGTAATATTTGTTAACTGATTGGTTTTACATAGGTAGATTTCAAATAAACAAATGAGAATCCAAATGAATTAATTAAAGAGATGTGATTAAATTCTTTCTTTGACAGATATGAAAGATGAACACTGCCAGGCAGAATGTGCGAGTGATTCTGCTTTAAAGGAGCCTCTTGCATTGATTCTCTCAAGTTTCTTTGAAAGAGTATGAAAAAAATGCTGATTCCTTTCACTAGAAAATCTAAGAGATGATCACTTTGCAAATGGCTGATTACACACAGAGAGCCTCAAAAGAGGAAGGATAGTCCGCTCTGTTGCACAAAGGTTTAGGTCAGAGTTCCCCAACCTTTCCGGCTTGGCGGCCTAGAAGAAAGCAGCAGGGAAATGTGCGCGCGCAGGAACGTGTAAATAGGCCTCTGGCACCCGCTTGACATCCCTGCGCATGTGCAAATGGGGCGGCTAGTGCCCGCATGGGGGTGCTATCGTGAATGGGACGGGGCTCACCAGCTATACATGGGGCCTGGTGGCCAACAGGCCGTGGCCTGGTACCAGGCTGCAGATCATAGGTTGGGAACCCCTGGTTTAGGTGATTCAGGAGATAGAGATACTAGCTGTGGTGGTAAAAGCTATGTACCCCCTTATTAGTTTGAAAATATGGAAGGTCTTTCACTGTTTGAACAATAGATTGGAAAATTTTAAAAGTTTGCCTTCAATGGATATCCCTTCTCAATTTAACTATGTTAAATCAAAGGGTTTCTGCAAAACCTTTTGCACTTGAAATTCATTATCAAATAATCTTATACTGTAGTATAACACTGAAATGTTGATTTTGTAAGAAGAAAACCTTAAAGTAAAGCTTACGATATGGCCAGACAGATGTGCTTTATTCTTTGTCCTGATCCTTTCTAAAGATCCATGGTAACAAATTTAAAATGTTTAGCACTGTGGAATGAATATAAATCTCTTCAATGCGTCTCTCTGCAGCATGTGACAAACTTTCAGTTTCTACAATGAATCTGCCAAAGCAAATGGAGTCGCCTATCAATAAACGTCTTTCCTCCTCCACAGCAACAATAACTTATTCCCATGATAAAGGCAAGTGAATGGGTTGCTCATTGTCGCTAGAAAAATATCTTCTCTTTTTAGTTCCAAGGCATTCCTTCCTCTTTTTCTGCTTTCCCCCTCCCAGTTTTCTTCCTTAACTGTTCTTTTTTTCGATCAGCTTTTTTTTTTTTATAAAAAAATAGGACAAAAGTCACTGATGCTGAAAACCTATCTTGGGAAACAAGATACTATAATTAGATCATTAGTCATTTCAAAAGTTTTAATCACATTTTAAAGTATTTTTAGTTTATATCTGGTTCATAACGGTGGTAGTAGAGAATGCATGTCTTACTGAGCTATTGCTTTAAGAGCACAGGTAGAACATCTCAACTAGGAGAAGAGCTTTGCTGACTTGTCTTGATCAAGGGATAAGACAGACAGACTGTATATACATACTCACATACAGACACAAAAATACACACAAACTTTGTTACACAAGTGAACATGACTTACCTTGGGCCTGTCCTTTGGAGTCAGTATAGTTTGGATTTCAATCACAAAAAGCTGTACTAATGGAAGAACTATACTGAGAATTTTCCAATAGCTGACTTTCCCTTCTGACAATGGCTTGAGAATATTTTCCTAACTCATTGCAACCATGTAGAAAGGAGGACAGAATTGTGCTGTAACAGTGTTTTGTTTTTTTTAAGGAAAAAAAACTTCTGAAACGTTTTTAACTCCCATATATAATTTTATTGCTCATCTAAAATATTGTTACCATTATTACATCTGTGATACACTTTATACAGAAAAGAAGATTCTTCCAGTACTCGTGTACTGGAGTTAAATATAATGCAAAATGACACTTGCTTTCAAGTAAAATATAAATAAAGTATTGCATTTAGAAATAGATTCTTTTCCAAATACAGGGTTTTGTACAAGGCATTGCCTTCCATCTTAAGCCGAGTATAAATTGAGGATAACGGTGCCTTTCTTAAAGGACTGTAATAAGAATTGCAAGAAGGCATGAATATAAGCTTCAAATATTCTGAAGTGTTATATAAGTTCTTAAAATGTTTGGATTCAGATTGTTCAGCCATTTTTACAAATAATGTTAAATAATATAAAATATTTTCTATGTAGTTAGAAAATGCTTTTATATTGATAAATATAAATGCTTTTATATTAATTAATATAACAAAAAAACCTAAATGCTCAATTATTTTATTTGTGGGACAACTTTGCATAGAATGTGAACAAGGATATTGTTTTAAGCCCTTGCTTTTACACTATGATTAGGTCCCTTCTATGGACAGTTGGCACCTGATAACCAGGCATCTTTTCAGGAGTTAGGATTCAGATGTTCCTTTCCAGTGAAGATTTAAGTGAAGTAACACTTGAAATAACCATAACTGATTAGAAGAAAGTAACTAATAATATTTTCATTGTGGTATTATTTGTGCTTGATTGCAAGACTGGTCAGTTTTTCCAGTAGTTCTAGTATTGAGGCTAGTGTATAAATTTAGTTTGTATATATAGTAGCAGGCTGAATAGAGACTGCATGAGCTCTGTTCACGGTACGTGCTAGACAAAATATATTTTGGAAAGATCTCAACTCTTGAAAACTTGAGAGAAAAGAGTAACGAAATGAGAGGAAGAATTTGTGATACAGATCTTTTTTGTATATATATATACGATGTAAATTTGGAGGTCTATAAGTCTTGCATTTGAGAATAGATGTAATAAATTCAGATTGCTCATCCCTGATAAAATTGGATAGTTATTAATGTGTAATTACAGTAAAGGACTTAGAAGAATATGTCAGTTACTGTTGGCAATATTTACTTTTTCTTTCACCATCTTCCAAGAATTTAAGTATGCACTTATAGGCACTTTCTATTTTCCACTGATTTTATGGAACGTCTATCTAAATATGCTTCTTGCCTAATCCTGTGCACCTGATTTCACTTATGTGGTGACTATGTAGTGATTTTGTGCTGGTTGAGTTGAAATTCAGTCTTGTGCATGTTGTTTGTTCTGAAATCATCATTTTCTTTTCTATTTTCTGAGAAGTTTTCACCAATAATTCTTCACTTATTGTTAACTGTGGCTAAAGCATGCTTTGTTTGGTCTTTACATATAACTGAATTCTAAAATACATACAGAATTTGCACTGCAGCATGCTTGCTGTTACCATGCCAGTGGCAAAACTTACAATGAAGAATTCTGTATGTTTTGAGAGCACTAATAAAAATGTCAGAATATAAAAATTGAACAAAACATAATTTGAATATTTTGTACTAAATAAAGCAGATTCTTACATTTAAATTTAAGGCCCAGATAAAATAGCTCTCTCATATTCCTTATTGATCACTTATACTTAGAATATCACACAAGAGTATACTGATCAGTATATAGAAACAAATTTCAATGTATCTATCAAAGATGATAGATTTTATATTGTAGATAGGATTTTAATTGGCTGACCATAAAATTATACTTTTGACTATTGTTTCATAAATTAAATTCAGGAAAAAAAAGCTGTCAATCCTTTTTAATAATAAAGTATTTTACCATTTTATGTCTAATACTAACATGCTAACACAATATTGACCAAAACCTAATGTGGTTTACACCATGAAAACTTCTTTGTGGAAGAATTAAATCAAAGGTTTGGAACTTTAAAATATGTTTAGCTTTATTTTTGGTTGTAATTGTTTATTTCTTTTGTACATCTTGTTTATTCATTTCTTATGTTTAATTGCACATTTTAAAAGTGGTTATTTTTTATTGTTTATTTGCTTCCATCCTTCAGCTCATCGCATGCATCTTAGTCCAATGGAAAAATTTATCATTTCTCGACTATTGACTCCCACACATGCTTCTTTAGCCAGAAGTAGAAGTACTTTAATGCTTTCTGAGAGGTATACTGATTCAGGTAAAACTAATATCTTCAGGAATATTTTAGCCACTTAAAACAAATTTTCCCATAAAATAGTAAATTTAAGGAGTCTATCCAGAAGATTATTGATAAAATACACAGGGAGTTCATGTTAACCCTAAATAAAGGACTTAAAATGATTCATCTAGCCCAGGAGCAGGTAACCTTGGCTCTTTTATGACTCGTGGACTTCAATTCCCAAAATTCCTGAGCCAGCTATGATCTAGCCAGTGAAATTTTCATAGCTAAAACTATATTGGGATGATAGGTCTGTTTTCAACCTTATAGGTTTATTTTTTTAGGTTGTGGTATGTATTTCTGACTTTACTAATCTATAGCAGTACCGTAATTTATTAGAAAATGAAGAATTTTGAATGACCCAATCTTAAACACTTACAAATAAAGTGCTTGTAAACTTAATGTTAAGTTGCTTGAGCAAAGATGTTATGGCTGTTTAAAATGGGAAGACAATTCAATGTTTTGGGAAATCATGCGTTTGGTTGTTTCTAATAAAATGATGCTGTTTCTTTCCTCTTTTCCTTGCTTTCTTTGTCTGTGTCTCCCAATGCACTTGCTATTGTACTATAACTCTTTAGTATTCCATATCTGTCCTCGTGTAGCACCAGCCAGCCCTCTTAAAACTTCTTACAAGCCTTCCCACACTCGAGGTGTGGAGAAAAAGAAAGCAGCATCTGCTTCCATATCAGATTCAATGAAGGGAGCAAGTACAAGTGAAGTCTCACAGGTAGGTTTGAAAACTACTAATTCATACCTTTTTTTAAAATATATTTATATGTTGGTTTATATTTTGATTCCCCAGGATAAATATACAAATACGGATCTCTGCTTTCTTTTCTCCTATCTTGCACTAATAAAAATGTTAAGAAAGAAACCTTATGCTATGCATTCTTGCATTTGAAATGAAGTGTTATTTTGGAGATCTTGCTTTTTTTAATTATTGTTCCCCCAGATATTTAGACATTCATAAAAGTGAATGTTGCATAAGAGCATCCCATCCCACCATCAGAAACGGTGAAATATCAGAGATTAGTTTCTTTTTCTTATTGTTGTGTTATTCCACACATACTGTATAACACTGTTATGGTTTCTCAGATTTTGTACCAATCATTCACTGATAACAATTTTGCCATTTATTGACACTTCACCATTAGAACGTAATACTGAAATTATATGCATATTTTAACTGTTGATTAAAATAGTACAAAGGCTATTGTTACACTCAGATTCCACTTGTAGGCTTCTGGTTTCCTCCTCTGAGAAGGGAATACTTGACTAGATTAATGTTTGTTTAGATAATTACATTTGTAGGAGCTTCAATGAAATAAATGAAATATAAAGTTTAATTGTACATTGTTTATTTATTTTTAATTAATTAGGCTGCCTAATTCCAATGTAACTCTGAATTATACAATATTAATTTTAAAATACAAAATCATAAGCTCTTTTTTGTATATAATTTTTATTAAAACTTTTAAACAAGAAGATAGAAACTAATGCAAATCTAGTATAAAGTAAGAAAGAAAAAAGCAATCAAAGCAAAAAATACAATAAAAGAATTGGAAAAAAAAATAGAAAGAAAAAAGATATATATCTTTGTACATATTGAACTTGCCACAGTAATCATATATTGAAATAATCATCCCTGGCTTTTTTCTATTCATTAATCCTAAAAGGAAAAGTTGTGGTTTCAATTGAATATTGATCTTTAAAATCCTCTATATCAAAGTGCGCATTTGAATCCATTTTTTAGCTTTTTTACCAGTCTACCAAGCATGATAAAACATCACAAAACCACAAGCTCTAAAATAAAAGCCATGTACCATGCAAAAATCCACACCCATTCTAGTCCAATGCTAGGCTAGAAATTAGGTTTTAAGGAAATATTTTGAACAAGTCAAAGCTAGACAAATTTCTGGGAAAGAATGTTCTTCCACAGGGCAGATGCTGCAACAGAAGACACGTTTATTAAGTCTTATCATATGGCACTGTTTAAGAGATAGGACCAGAAGCACGCCAACTCTGTCTGATCATGCAGGATGAGTAAAAACTATGGAAGACAGAAGATGGCTTATATAACCAGACTCTGAACAATTTTTTAGGTAATAATTCAGATCTTGAATTGTACCCAGAAGCTTATTAGGATTCAATGCCACTCATGAAGCAGTAGTTTTACTTGGGCATGCCGTGGTATGCCCATAACTGCCAATATTGCTTTATTCTGAACCAGCTGCAACTAACAATTGCTTTCCAGGGGCAAATCCATGTAGAATTGCATTGGTTTAATGTAGGGTTTGTAAATAGCCATCTTAAAAGTTTTACTTAAACGTTGACCCCTCAAGATGAGCTGTGGTTTGCACTTCATTTTCATAAAAGTTCAAAGGAATCATCAAGTCCAGTCTCCTAGACATTTATTGAGGCAACCCAGAATCTAATGTTAGCCTTAACATAGATCTGCTTAGCCATTGGTAGAAAACTGGATAAATTGAAATGAATAAAAAGGAAGAAAATGTGCTCCTGTTCTTTTTCTTTCCGTTCTTCCCATAGCTTGTACATCTAAGACATAAAACCACTGCTTATATTGAACAAAATAGGCAGCAAAATACCTTGACCCCTGTTATCTTTCTCTAACCGGGAAATTGTTAGGCACAGGAGTTGCAGCTGTAATGGCAGCAGGTCTCTACTAGAAAATTGCTTGCATATACTGTAATAGTTAATTCTTTTCCATTTGTTGGACTACTTAGTTCATCATTTGGGAACTGGTTCATTTGGATTGCTACTTAATTCTGATACTGTGACAATTATTGCAAATCTCACATAATCAAAAGTAAATACCCTGATAACCAGATTGGTTCCTTAGCAAAACAACAGTAAGGTGGAAATTGTTCCTACTATTCAAAAGAGAGAGATATCATTGCTTCATTTGGGTAGGAGAAAGAGGTACAAATTCAAATGTTAGTTTCACTATAAATAAGACTTGTATTTGATGTACAGCAGTTATACTTACTTTCAAAATGCTTCATAACTAAATATTTCAGTTCACAGTAAATCTATTTTTAAGTTTTTGAATCTTTGGAAACTATTCTTTAAGGTTTTTTTTTTCTAGTTAGCTAAAATATTGAAGCAAGACACTGGTAGTTTAGTGAGCTGTCTGTGGAATTGCTGGAGTGTTGTAGTCATTGTGTAGATCCTTCTCTAGCTGTTTTTTTCTAGAGTGATAATGGTAAGGAATGAAAACAGAACTGAAAGGATTCCCAAACTGGGTATCTTCTGACAATGCACACTTGGCTTGATTTCTCAGCTTGACTTGGCATCAGATTAACTGATGCAGCTTGGCTTGATTAAAATCTGTATTGCAAACAAGAATGAAGACACAATACATAATTGCCCACTGGGAGTATAAAGGACTTGGCTTCAAGGACTCAAGGATTCTTCCTTCACAATTAATGAATGCTTGACATGGTCTTGCAGGCTTGGTTTTGGTACTATATGCACAAAGGAAAGTCAAACAGTTCTTAAACCTCAGAGTTTGGACAGTGAATATACAAATTTCAAACTTGTGTGATATTTTCTTATGCAAAAGGCAGGTCTGTGTACGTATATTTATATAAGAATTTGCATATGTGTTTGTTTGTATCTATATATACATGTTGAATAATTGTTTGTCTCAGATTATCAAATTATATTATCTTTTTTAAGAATGAGAAGAAAAAGAAACAATCAACAACACCTGGCACATTATCTGGTTTTGGATCTCCTCTTAAAAAATCTGAATGTCCAGCAGTTGTATCTAAACAATCAGCTTCACCTGCCACTCCAAAGTAAGAATGTTTTGCAAATTGTCATGTCCTCTGAGTAAGCTTAATGTATGCAATTTTTATTTTACAATGCGTTGTTTTCATCATGCAGAGTAGAACATGTCATCTTTCTCTCTGCAGAAATGATCTGCATTCTTGTTGCCCAAGTTTATGCTTGATAGATTTATACTGAGAAAATAGCAACAGCAGTACTAAGCAGATACAGGTGCTATTTCTAGTTTTGGCTCTACAAGTGTAAGCCAAACTATATGAGGTAACACCTGGAGCTTGCCAGTGAGAATGTCCTGACACCCAAAAGTATTCAGCCACCTTGCTTAACAAGGGTCGTCAGATCCATCCCATCTGATAGAAGTCAAATTTTACTTCTTCAAAATGACACTGGGGGTTGCAGTTATATTTAAAATAATGCCTCATTTCATTTTCTTCTTCTGTCCATGATTGCTTTAGCCAATCTCTCAACCTTGCCCTTGTCTCCCAAAATGTTGCCATTGAAATTACTGGTTACTTTCTCATCATCTTGTATCCTTGCTCATATGTATACTCATGACTGAGGCATGCTGTTAAGTGAACATAATAATCTCATTTTGTAGGACAGCATTAGCCTTATTGGCCCCATTAAAAAGGACTGTTACAAAAAATGTAACTCAATGTTTTAGTGTGCTTTCCTCCCTTAATAAGCCTGTTTATATGTAATTTCATCAGAGAGCTGGCCACTTATAAACTTGCTCATGATTTTGTTTGAATACATGCTGCAAAATATACAAAGTAGGCATGCCAATATGTAAAAGCAAAGGAGTACGGTAGTTAGGTTTAGAGCAAAATTTCTCAGGAGACAGGTGTCAATTTTGTCAACAACTAAGACTTCCTCAGAGATGAGAAATATAAGCACTGAAATTAAACTAGAATGGGGATAAGTGGAATTGCATCTTTGAGTAGACAGCACATTAATGGCTTCTTTCAACTATAGGATTAGGATTCTTACTTGCTTTATGTTAAGAGATTTTTACTGAAATTCAGAGGTGGCACGTGGTTGTGGTTAAAGTGAAGAAAGGAAAGTGACATGTTGGGCATTCCCTTCTTTAATTCAAGGGCACAGCAGTGGTCCAGTCTTGCTCCTGATTTTCCTGTGCTGTTTTCCTTTTTCCATTTTAGCTATTGTCACAGATAACATTGCCTTTTTCCCATTATCTACATGCCAGAACCTGCCTGCTTGGACCAAACCTGGGTGTTTGGGATCTGTACCAAATACCTGAAGCGGTTATTGTGTGCACAGGATTCTTTCCTAATTATATTTATAATTAGTTCAATTAGTGCAGTTTAGTGCAACTAATCCTATTATAAGAAGATAACTTTAAATTATGTTATACTGTATTAAAAAGACGACATAGAAGCAAGATTGTGTAGATGTGCAATTGGCCTTAAAGAGTAGAAAAGTATGGTTTTTAACCTTTCTAGAAACCACACAAATATCACTTGGAATTCCCTTTAACCATAGTTTCAGAACTGACTAGCAAAGCTGATCCGTGGTGCTTCAATTAGAAAATGACCGATTCAGTACCAAGATTGCATGAATTAGCTGTAAAATCCTTTAGATTTCCCCCCCCTAATGTTTTTCTTCAATATAATCTTAAAACAAACAATGCAAACAGACTAATAATTTATGTATATTCTACTTTTGATATATTATACGAATGCTACTTCATGCATAAATAGCTTTGATAAGAGATGTTTTGAACAAATTTTTAAAAGATAGATTGCTTCATTCCCACATCTTTATTTTTTATCCTCTCCCCCTCTCCCCCTTCACACATACATGTACATAAACACAGATGCACATTTATAAAATCTAAGTAGAAAGACATGCTATATTAAAACAAAAAATGGCTCTGCTATCAATAAATGATAGATGACAAATAGGACAGTATGTGTGCATGTATTTGCTTAATATTGGAGCTGTTTTATATATTAATAGAAAAATGCCAATAAACATCTAAAACAAGTTTACAGGGTTAATCCAAGAATTTATCTTGTAGCTCATTTTGGATTTAAATGGTTACCACTTATCAGACCGGTTTCCAGTTAAAGTTAGATATCTAGTATTTTCAATATATTCAGCAATGTTTTCACCTGAAATAACTAATTATCAGGCTGCATCCCCACACAAATTATATTTAAAGAAATGTTATAACTAAATGGATATAAACCTCATAATTGTATATCTGTCACAATTCAATGTTTATCTCTTTAGATTATTGCTTTTATTAATGATGTTAATAGTCATGGTATAGCCAATTGTTTCATGACATTGTAATATTGTTTTATCTGTTCTTAAGTGAACTATATATAAACTCTGTATCTATTCTGTATTGTCTTTTTGTAAAAAAAAAATACAAAACCAACTCAATTCTATCTTCCCTTGTGCTATTTTTTAGCTTAATGTTTCATTCATAACCTGATATAAAAGACTGAGAAAAACAGTCAAGGCTATGATTAATTATTATTGACTTGATTTTGTTTATAAGGCAAAACTGAATTATTTGAAATCTATGTTTTAGATCAGTCTCAAAGACTTATCCACAGTCTCCCAAAATTAATAAAACATATCCAGCTTCTCCTGTGAAAAATCGTACAACTTCAAACTTGAACCAAGGAACTCCTAAAAAAAGGACAGCAAAAGTTAAAGAGAGTCAGCGGGAAAGTATTAGTCAAAGAATTCAAGCATCACCAGCTGAAGCTGTAAATCAGTCTAGTGCTGAAAAATCTTCTATAGGAAAAATTGAAAACACTGAAGGTAGATTCTCATTTAGCTCAGTTGACTATTATTTTACATGATTATTTTCTGTCACTAATATTTGGGGGGGGCGAGGGGATGTTAATTTAAACTTTACCATCAATAATTATTTTGTACTATATCCTTAAGAAATTATTCACATGTATTCACAGAATAAACTATGCAGATAGCATCTAGGAGATTGACATTAATTAAAATCAAGAATGCATATTTATAAATATAATAATACATATTTCTGACATTTCATTGACTAGAAAATTCAGCCATCAGGGTAATATTGTGTGCCGTTCTATTGCATATATAACTTGTTTCCTGCCTGCAGATTAATATTCAATTCAAGAACTTATTTTTAGGGAAACATGTAGCAGGGACTACTGATGTGGAAGAAGCAACTAGAATTCTAGCAGAGAAAAGACGTCAGGCTCGACTTCAGAAAGAACAAGAAGAAAAGGAAAGGCAAGAAAGAGAAAAATTTGAAAGGTATCCTGCTCTCCCTATATTAATAACTATAACCTCTTAGCTATCAGATGCAGACATGTGCAAATTAAGAGTATGTACTTCACATATTTAATTAGAAATATGCAACACCTCTCTTTGTAGTCTTCTAGTTCTGTTACCTTGTTATTTGGAACCAGTTCTTAATGATATATTAAATAGAAGAGAACATAAATGTACTCCCAACAATATATTGTGTTTTGAAGGCTAGAAAAAGAAGAGCTGAAAAGAAAAGCAGAGGAAGAGAGGACTCTACTGGAAGAAAAGGCTCGTAAAAGAGAAGAGGAAAGGAAATTGGAAGAAGAATTAGCAAAAAAAAGAGCAGAAGATGAAACAAGAAAAAGAGCTGAAGAAGAACGCAAACTGAGAGAAAAGCAAGAAAAAGAATTGCAAGCTATGCTTGAGATACAGGTGTGGTGATCTAATGGTTCAGAGCATGTAGTTTTCTTTATTTTCAAGGTGCAACATTTTATATAATGAATTGAATGTTCAGAGCTGTTGTAAAATATAATGAATCCAGATGAAGAATCTATATTTTCTTTTAATTTTCCTTTGCTTCTGTAAATACTGCATATACCTTATCCTTAGGTATATGATGCATAAAATCTTTTTATGTTTCATATCTGTGTTTACTTAATACTAGAAACTGAATATTGCAGTTTGGATCAAACTAAATAGTGTGATGCAGACTCTGAAGGTAACAGAATGGAATATATGAGTAATTATACAGAAAACACTGAACCTTTGATATTATTTGCATTCCTCTTTAAATGACAAGTTGTCTTAATGCTACCAAAATGTCCATGCCTGGATACAGTTCAAATGTCTGTCTTTTGAAATTGCCTTGACAGATCAGACCTTATGTTTAAATGTTTTAATCCTAATGCTGTTTTAATTGAATTAGTAGGCAAAAACTACAGTTTATACATTAGTGGACACATTTTCCCTCTCTGGCTTCTTCAGATTAAGCCATAGAAGAGTTTCTGCTTTCCATTGTGCTATATTTTGGGGGAAACTAATGGCACAGATATGTGTATTCCCTATATACAGTAATTACCAGGCAGGTAATGGGAAAATGTTCATTATTTTCACAAATGCTTGTGTCAGTGCTCACAAAGGTATGCACATAATGCTAGCAGAGAATTTGAATCTAATTCTATTTCAAAAAAACACATTCAAATTAAATTTGGAACAGAATTTGTTGGGTCAGATTTCACTTATAGTTTCTGTTACAAGAATTTTCATGAGTCTGGGTTGCAAGCCTAGTGCCCATTCCCCTGCAATTTTCCTACACAGGATATTGTTTCACCCTATCTAATTCACTCTCTCCCTACATTGAGGAATGCAGTGGGATTTTGAGGGGGTAATTCCTGAAGAGACTCTGAGATAGTGATAGAACACAGAATGTGTTTTGATGGACACGTGCTCCCCGTGAGTGAGCAACATCCAGCAAATACCACAATCAATTGAGTATCACCAGATAGAGAAAAAGAGGAAAGCTAAAGAAAACCTGGCACCAAACATTTCAGGAAGATCTGAAAAACCAACATTAAAAACATCAGCCTTAAATGGAAGGATATGGAGACTATTGCTTCAGACTGAAAATTGTGGAGTATGCTTGTAGCCCAATGTGCTTAACACAGGATCATATTAATAATAATAGTAATAATAATAAGTTTTAATTATTAATTAATAATTAAATAAACAGTAGTAATAGAAGCCCTTGGAGCAATACCCAAAGGGTTACCTAGATACATGGAAATTTTGAACTTATCAGACTTGAATATTCTGACTTTGCAAAAAACCACCTTACTTGGAACAGCCTATATCAGGGGTGTCAAACTGCCGGTCCACGGGCCGGACCCATCACCAGGAAACCGCACCCACCTCATTGCCGGCAATGGGGAAAAAGCTCCGATACGCCGAGTGACCTCGTAAGTTTGACGTGTCTGGCCTATATACTGTACTCAGACGTTACTTTAACAGCTCTTAGGTCCTTGGTTAGGACTTGAACTGTTAAGTTTTTACCAGTACCAGAGTGTGAATCAAATTGAAAATTAAATCTTTAATAAAAACAACTTGTTGGCTTATATTTAATTAGAAAGAAGCAGCAGAAGCTAAAGCACGAGAGGCAGCTGAACATTTACGTTTAGAAAAGGAACAAATTATGCAGCAGATAGAGCAAGAAAGACAAGAACGAAAGAAGGTAACAATTTTATTCAAATCAAATCTTGTTGCATTGTTATTTTACATTGTTCCATGACTATGCGAAGGCTGCTGTAAGAAAGGAGCTGTCAACTACAAAAAATACATACGATTTAATTACATTCTCAGTATGAAATGCAATAACTAAATTACAAGCTCTGTTCAGAATTATTTTTTTCAAGTTTACTAGGACTATTAACAATTGTGTTATTTTCTGCATCTTACAAAAAAATGAAAAGCTGGAAAAAATTATGCATGTGGTAATTATAATTGTAATTAATTTGGTAATAGAAGGGTGTTGGCATTACTGATTGACCATTTTATTATTGTTATATACTGTACATAATCCCTGTGTTGCCTGGGGAGAGGTGGAAATTTTAAAGTAACATTTACAAATCATTATAGTACTTCCACCAAATTAGAACTAAAAGAAGGCATGCTAGAGATACCAATAACAATCAGAGCTTTTTGGAAGAGGTGCCAAGAATATAAATAACAAATAGTGATGGCTTTATGATCTGCTTATATGTTTGTAGAATCCTGTACATTAATTCAAAACTTTCTGGAAAATGACATTTTTTTCCACATCTTATACTTCTTTAATCTCATTAAATGAGGAAAGCAAACTTTTTTCTCTCATTTCAGCGAATAGATGAAATAATGAAAAGGACAAGAAAAAATGAAATAACAGAAATCAAGGTATTAGAAAAAAAAGTTATTTTAATAGAAAATGCAGAATGTTGTAATCTGGTTCATCCAGAAATCCTCATATTATTCCCCAATTTTAATTTAACAGAATGACTAAATAACTTATTTCTTGTCTCTGTTGTACGTATTCACTGTAAAGAGAAGAGTTAAACTGTCTTAGGGCTATAATGCTTAATATATGAAGTAAATTTCTTTCTTATAAGTGGGAAAATAAACTGTGAAGAATTGTTTTAAGATGACAGATGATAATGGGAGGAAAAGCAAAAATTCTTCCTTTGCTGTTTTTCTCTTCCAAATCAGTCAGATTATGTATGGGGAGGAGTTGTGGCTAATTCTTAGTTGTCCAAGGTGTACTACTTTCCTTCAATACAACTGATTTAATTTGAAGTTCTTTTCAGTATTATATAGTCAATGCATAATAATAAAATTGAAAGTATTGGCTAAAAAAACCTGAATACATACTTCTTTGTTGATTGTGTTATAATTTTTTAAAGAGAACTGATGAGTTGAGATACAGTGCTGGATTCTTCGGTTATATATGTAGTATATATATATTGTAGCTATATAAAGACGCACAAAGGACTTCTGAAGTATAAGACAAGAGCTCTGTTATTGCTACTCCTCATATCACTCCTTATTAATCTTAGCTTTAAATATATAATAGTGGTAAAACAACCTTTCTTTCATTCCAGCCAACACTGTCAGCCTTTCTATGTAGAATTATAATCTTAAAAATTTAAAGTTATCTCATTGAAGCAGTTTTATCTAGCCCGGAGGTAGGCAACCTTGGCTCTTTTATGACTCATGGACTTCAACTCCCAGAATTCCTGAGCCAGCATGGCTCAGCTTCGAAACTTCTCCCTTTCCCCTCAGCATAGCTGGCTCAGTAATTCTGGGAGTTGAAGTCCACGAGTCATAAAAGAGCCAAGGTTGCCTACCCCTGACCTAGCCCCTACCCCAGTTCTACTTTTCTCTCATGCCCCTAGTGGCTAGGAGGAAAAATGTAGGATGATTAAAGAATGTCCCTAATGCAACCCTATTTTTGTGGACCACTTCAGGATTTATTTCTGCAAAGAAATTGAAGACTTGGTAGCTTAGTATAGTTCCAGTAAACACTCTGGCCGTTTTGGATTAAAATTGCTTCCCTCTAAACCTGGTGATAATCAATCACAGAATATGCTACTCTGTCCATGGTACATTTAAGTGAGCTAGGTGACTAATGACAGATAATGTATTGGTGTTGTTAAAGATACTATTAGTTCATCTTTTACTGGCATTATTATGTCTATGTTCCCTTTAAAATCATATTATGATTCATCACACATTCAGCCAGATGTTTAAAATTGATTTGGCATTTTTAATCCACCTATCAAATCCTTTTTAAAGATGTGGAATAATTATTACTATTAAAATTTATTACAGCTGCCCAACTGCAATAGACTCTGGACAGTGTACAAAATTAAAAAAAAAAAAACAGATAAAACCTAACCCACACAGCTCAGACTAAATCTAATAATCTAAATCTAATTTAAACAGTTTAAAATGACACAAATCAGAACAAAACAGTCCTCCTGACCCCCCCCCCAAAAAATAACAGCAAAACGTTAGCCTGGAACCAAACCATATTTTAAGAGTTTTTCTAGAAGCCTGGAATAGAGTGAAATAATTTTTTAAAGACATTTATTACAATAGCAGATAACATTTAAACCCCGTTGAACTCTGCCACATATTTAATTTGAAAAGGATTTATATGTAATGCATCTATGCATTATATGCAATGTAATTGTATGTACTGTGTTTGATGATAACAGAAAGAAGATACAAAATCAGATGAGCCAAGAATCTTGAATGTGGATCAATATCCCAACTCACTTACCCTTAGTCAAGCAGGTAAAATGTGTAATTTTGGTCACACCTGCATACTAATAATCACTCAAAATCCATACCTTCATGAAAGATGTTGGTTTTATGCTTTCTCATCATATGTTCACAAAGCTGAATTTAGCTTATTTAGGATGTTATTCTAGGACCTTACTCTGTAGCTTTCTCATACATACTTTGTTTACTGTTTGTGTTGTTTTTCATTGTTATGTCTATCTTTCTTCTTAATTTTTGAGTTTCTCTTATTGTTCGAGATTTGGTAGTGCATGATGTAATTTTAATAAGCAAACCATCAGCCTTGTTGGGGTTTTTTTTTGCAATACCAGGGAGAACTGTTACTCCTCTTATTTGCTATAGTAACCAGAATTTATGCAACTCAGAGATGTTTATGTGTTCTAGAGGAACTGTGGCATATTTTCATGTGGAAGTGTGTGTGTATATGTGTAAGCACACACACACAAAAATAATAAAAATGAAGTGAAGTTATTTAGGCAGTGGGTGCTGTAGTTGCAATGTTTCCAAGCTAAACAAGAAACAGTAACCCAATTGTATTACTAGTTAGTCCCCTGAGACATTTGGGGCATCTGGTAAGCAAAGAAATGATGCTTTGCAAAAATTCAGAGCACAAGAGACAGGGCTTACCTATACTAATCAACTGGTTGTTTTCTACCTGTTCTGGCCAGTAATGATCTGTTTCCTAAAAGATATACCAAGAGAGTAGTCTTCTTCCTGGTTTAGTTTGATTAAATGAGGGAGATATTCTAGATCAGCTCTGCTCCTCCTTATAGTGAGTTAGGACTCTGTCTGCCCATTGTTATTTAAGTAATATTAGTATGCATGTATCTTACAGTGAGGGAAAAATTATTTGATTCCTGCTGATTTTGTTCATTTGACCACTGACAAAGAAAGGATCAGTCTATAATTTTTTTTATAATATTTTATTAGTTTTCTAATTTTACAACAGAAACTATAAACCAAGAAGAAGGGGCTAAAAGGAAAGAACAGAGACAAACTAGAACAACTAAATCCTAAATATAATTGAAGAAGATGGAAAAAGACAATGGGATACTCACAATAAATATAAATGAATTAAATTCCCCCGTAAAGAGGAAAAAACTCTTTACATGATTACAAAAATTAAAAATGGATATAGTTTGCCTACAAGAAACACATATTAAAAGACAATATTATAAATCTCTGGAATGCCCGAAAATTGGGAAACTTTATTTCTCATTAGCACAACAAAAGAAAAGAGGAGTAGCTTTATATATCAAAGAAACAATGAATCCTAAACAAATCTACTTGGATGAAGAAGGAAGAATACTAATGTAGAAATAACGATAAATCAAAAACAGACATTGATGGTAGCAATTTATGCACCGAATAACAAACAAGAATGCTACCAAAGATTACACAATAGTGGAAATGGAGTACCAAAATACTTGTTTAGTAGGAGATTTTAACACAATTGTAGATGGAAAGTTAGATTATAGGAGTAGTAAAATAGGGAAAAAAGGAAGGAACATTTTGCCTAAGGCTTTTTTCAGAATGGCAGAAGAAATTTGTATACAGGATATGAGAAATAAATCCTAAGACATCTCAATATACATTTTATTTAAACAGCCACAAATCATGGTCTAGAATTGACATGATATGAATATTCCCTGAATTAAGAAGGAATATACAAAAAATCGAGATAGAAACTAATGTATGGGCGGACCATAATCTGATAATGACCTGGAGAGGAACAAAGAAAAAAGCAAGATGGACTTTAAACCAATTCTTATTGAAAGAGAAAGAATTTATACAAAAATCCGTAAAGGAAACGGAATTTTTCTTCAAAGAAAATAACAAGATACATCACTCCAAAATGTCTGGGATATAGCTAAAACATATTTTAGAGGAGTAGCTATAACCTATATAGCGAAAAGATGAAAGACAAAAAACAACGACAAATTAAGCTTAAAGAAGAACTTACAAAACTAGAATTAGAACTACAAAGAGACCCACAAAAGAAAACTCTTAAAAAAAACAAATGGAGATAATAAAACACAAATTAAATCTAATAGAAGCTTAAAAAATGGCTCAACAAATCAAGAGCAAATCAAAGGAATGGAGATAATAGATGAAAAGTACAAACTACAAGCATTCGCAGATGACCTGGTATTTATATTGGAGGGTCCGTTAGAGAAAGTCCTAAATTATTTGCAAAGATTGAAGAATTTGGAGAAGTAGCAGGACTGAAAATTAGTAGAAAAAAATTTATAATTTTAATTATAAAGTTATAATTAAAAACCTCACAGATAAACAAAAAAACCAACTATCAGTAAAAAGAAACCTTCAAATAGCTACTAAGAAAGTTAAATACTTGGGGATATATTTAACAGCAAGATGTGCAACAATAAAAGAAGATAATTATGTAAAATTATTAAAACAAATAAATCTAGATTTGGAAAAAATGGAAAAATCTACAATTCTGGGAAAAATAGCGATGGTAAAAATGAACATTTTACCAAAACTACTCTTTTTATTTCAAACAAAACCGATAAAAAATTGACAAATTTTTTTCAATGAATTAAATACATTGATATTGAAATTTATCTGACAAGGGAAAAAAGCTAGAATCAGACTGAAAATGTTACAAGAAGCAAAAGAAAATGCTTACCCTACCAGACTGGGTCTTGTACTATCAAGCAGCCGCACTAACATAGTTAAAAGAATGGATAACTCTTAGAAATAAAAGACTATTATATCTAGAAGGGCATGACCTACAACTTGGATGGCATACTTTCCTATGGTATTCACAAATACTTTCAAAACCACTATGTAAGAAATGCACTGCTTTTGACATGGGAAAAGGTAAAATCAAGAACTTACATGAAAATACCAGGATGGATTTCGAGAATGGAGGCGTTTGTACACCCAAACTTAATCAATTATCAGAAACTTGTGACTTATAAAGATATTTTGAATACTGATGGGAAACTACAAACTAAACAAGAATTGGAAGGACAGGGCATTTAGCTATCATGGTGGCTACACCTGCAAATGCAAATGAGATATGAGAAAGATGCAAAAATATATGGTTTTTACAAAGACCAGACGTTAGACCAGATACTATTGTCATCAGATGATAAATTGATTAAGAAACTGTGCAGCTTTCTGTTAAATTTAAAGTTGGAAATGCAGACAAAATCCAGGCACATATTATCATCTTTGGTGGACATGCCCTAAAGCAAAGAACTATTGGTCAAAAATACATAGGTGGCTAGAGAAGATGATAGGAGCACATGTAGACTATAAACCGGAATTATTTCTTTTAGGCATAATTTCAGAAAATTATGATAAAAAATGTGTATACTTAATATTAGATATATTAACATCAGCAATAATTATATTTGCTCAATACTGGAAAAACGAAGAAATACCATCTGAAGAAGACATAATTAAGAACATTTTGGACTGTGCAGAAATGGATAGCCTCACATTGAAAGTGAAGGGGAAGCAATATTCAGAATACTTTCAAACATGGGAAAATTTGTATAAATGGTTAGAAAAACGGAATAAAGGGGAGGAATGGAAATTGTACTGCTATTAATGTCAAACACATAAACCCAAACATGTTGCTTATTAAATACTAAAAGACTGCTACTGTAAAAAAAATAATAAAATATACATAAAATACTTATTTCACTCATTAAAATGCAAATCAATTTATAACTTTTTTGAAATACATTTTTCTGGATTTTTTTTTCTTATTCTGTCTCTCACTGTTAAAATAAACCTACCATTAAAATTATAGACTGCTCATTTCTTTGTCAGTGGGCAAATGTACAAAATCAACAGGAAATCAATTTTTTTTTCCTCACTGTATATGGAATGATAACACAGTGACCTCTCTGGATTTAATTAATTTGTTAATTGACTTTGAGTGTCCTTATCTACCTCATCCAGGAATAAAAGATTATAGAAGCTGTGTCAGTGATGGAAATTATAGAGAAGCACTAGTTTTCTTATTAGATATGCTGGGTTAGCAGTAAATAGCAGGAATAGCTAGACCTAGGGGAGGGAGGGAGGGAGGGAGGGAGGGAGAGAGAGAGAGAGAGAGAGAGAGAGATTATCATATCTGCAATCTGGTTTGTCATGCAGTAAGATTGGCACAATTTATACTGCTTGACCTACTTGAAACAGTTAACTTTTCTGTTCCTCCCACAGGACTAGAGCTGGGAATGCTCTACAGTGAGGAATCCAAGTCTTTTTTATTTTGCAGAAACTATTAAGACTCATTGCCCTTGGCCCCAGTTGTCTGGCAATTTTGTATTCTGTCCTAGCCTTCTTTCGTGTAAGGCCATCAAAACAATTTATTCTGTTGAGAGAGCTGCCTCTTTCTCCCAAACTGTGAGAGGCCTAAAACAGACCTCAGAGGTCAGCAAGAGAAAATATTATTAGCAACAGTGTTTATAAATAAATCTTACATAGTGGCTTTATGAGGAGTTCAAGGACTTGCCTGCTGTCAAGATAATTTTATAGCCTTTGTAGTTCTAATGATATGGCGAAAACTCAGCTTAGCTATTAAATATTATTGTTTAATAATATTAAATATTATTGTTTATTATTATCCAATGCTTCGGATTTGAGGGGAAAGTCTTATTTTCTCAACAACTGAAAGAAACAGTGCTTCAGAATTATGTGACTGTTCTTTGCAACTGCATCTGATCCAAATAAAAGGTGTTCTTTGTTTAAGGAACAGTTGACAAGTGCTATGTGCATACCTATGCACTCTAAAGAACCTTTTTTCCTTTGAATCGAAAATGTTGCACAGCCTAGTAAAGCAGTGTTTACTTTTTACTGGAATTACAAACTTTCTTCACTTAAGGAGCCCCTGGAATGCCAAGAAGACCTAGTTCTCTATAATTTATAAATATTTATGTAACACTTCTGTGATGACAGATATTCTTCTTGTAGTAGCAGATATCAAATTAAATGTTAAATTTGCCCTCTAGTCATATAGGAGTCTATCTAGCTTCAGTTACAGGTAATCCCTGAGTTATAAGCGTTCACTTGACACTCATTCAAAGTTACATGATGAGCCCCCCCTAGTGCTTACGAGCAAGTTATGAATATTGCAGCACCACAGTAGTCGTTCGTCCTTATGAGTGACCGCAGTGGCTCTACAACATTCACCCTGGTTATTCCCTCCCCATCCCCACCCCGGGTCTCCCTAGGGCTAGGCACTAGGCCTTCAATACTCAACCTACGAAGATTGAGATCCTTCACTTTCTTGGCTGCTCCAGGTCTTTGGTGCGTTTGCAGAGAATGGAGGCCTAAAGTAACGCAAGATCACATGAGATCAGTGGGGTGAGATCTCACGTGATCTCATGGTACTTTAAGCCTCTGTTCTCTGCAACAGAGAACGGAACCGAAGCTGGGGGACGCTTCCATGTGCCTCCAGAGGCCTTTCCCAGGCCACTGCTGCCCAGATCTGAGGCAGGGAATGCTTCTGTGCCCCCCCCATGGCCTGATCCAGGCTCCGGAGGCCTTTTCCAGGTCGCTGTGGCCCGGATCTGAGGCCGGGGGGTGCTTCTGCGCCCCACTGTGTCCCAATCCAGGCTCCAGAGGCCTTTTCCAGGCCACTGCCGCCCAGATCTGAGGCCGGGAAACACTTCCGCTTCCCCCCATGGCCTGGCTTGGGCTCTGGAGCATTTTATAGGCCCAATCAGGCCTCAGGGTGGCTGTGGATGTATTTACCGACCTTAGATCTGGGTGGCAGTGGCCTGGAAAAGGCCTCCGGGGCCTGGATCAGGCACAGCAAGAACTGCGACAGAGAGGTGATGGATCTTTTCCAGGTGAGTCCGACGCGGCAGGCAGGGAGAGGGAAGCATGCGGTATTTTAGTGGGTCAGGGAGACCTTTGGGACCTGTTCCATCACTAGGCCCTCTGTGGCCTTCCCCACCCTGAGATACCTCATGTTCACTTAACAAGCCATGTACGTTTTAACGAGCAAGAGTGATTTCGTTCAAGATACGAGATTCACTCTACAAGTTTTTGAGTTAGAGAGGAATGGGCAGGCTCCATTACACTCATAACTCGAGGACTACCTGTATTCTAACATAAGGACAGGCAGAATTAAGTTACTTCCTTTGGTCAACTGATATTTGCATTCTTTTTCTTTGTCCTTTTTGTTTGTTCATTTAAACTAGTTGCATTGATGTCATTTACCACAGCCCCTAAAAACTGCTCCAGTTTTGCAACAAAGTGCTTTTCCTGAAATAGTTATAGCACTGTTTTATAGCTCTTCCCCAAAATTGAAGCAGCTACTTCATATATTTTCAGTACATTCATTAATAGTTTTGAAGGCATGACCATGGGAGAGAAGCAACCAGACTAGTGCATTCATTTCTTGCACTGTGTCTAAGAGGAAATTTTTATTTATCCATTCATTTATTTATTTTCACATTTTTTAACTGCCCAGCTCCCTCAGAGATGAATGAAGTTGTACAAAATTTCTCATTCTTGGCTTTGCCTTTTTTCCTCAAAGCTGTATTCAGAATATGAGTACCCAAACAAGCATACTGCTTTTGAACATACTATTGGAGGATGCTTTCATCCACTGTAGAAAAACAGGTGATTGTATTCTTCTACAGCAGATGGAAGATCTTTACCCTGGGTGGAGATGTCTGAGTGCTGGGAATGTAGCAATTCCTGCTACTTATGGTAATTCTGCTTTTAATGAGTGTAGCCTGAGTTCTAGTAGAGACTTGAGAGTTGGTTTGGAACACCCTTTCTCAACCTGGCTGCCCTCAAGTCATGTAAACTTTGTCTTTCAGAATTGCCCAATCAATGTTGTAATTGCTGGTAATATGGGTTTTAAAGTCTACACCTCTCAAGAATCTCCAGATGTGGGAAGATTGGTTTGAAAGAATTATTGCCTATTTGATGTAATGTTTATCTATATATTGGGTGGGGATTTCTCTTACATAAGAAAATGTATGTATGATTTGCATAAGGCCTACCAATTGAAATTAGTGGGAGGACAAACTCACTTTTTATCCACCTGAAAATTAAACCTCTTGCAATAAATTCAGTTTTTAAGAGAGAAATATTGAACACACACTGATGATATGGGGCTCTGATGACTTAAAGCCTGTCATTATGTATTATATGAGCATAGTTTTCATGTTAGAATGATATTTTGAGAAATTGAAAGGCTTTTAATCCTGGAGAACACATACATAATGGTTGCCTTTCTCCGACAATTTCTTTTTTCCAATCCATCTATTCTTAGTGGCTAAATTTCTGCTATTAGATTCTCCTTTTATAAGGGGAAGAAAAAGGAAGATTGACTGTAAAGAAGAGAAATGAAGGGAGAAATACAAGAAGCTGCAACTTTTACTTTCAAATTTCACTGGGAATAATATCAAATGTCTTGTTATAAATAAATCATGTATTCAATTCTTCAGTGACATATATTTAATTTTCCAGACTTGCATATTTTAGTTCCTTTTACATTTGTGTTTTGAATTTTGTCCAGTCAACTCGGGAATACTGTATTTCCCTGAAAATAAGCCCTACTCCAAAAATAAGCCCTAGTTTTCGGGCGAGGCACACACCTAAAAATCAAGCTGGGGGGGGGTAGAGCTTCCCACATGCCCTGCACTCACCATTGCAACCAGGTCTCCCATACCCAACACCTGTCTCACCAGCCCAGCCCAGTTCTTCTGTGGCTGTTTGCCGCCACTCTCTCTCTTGCGCGTGCATCACCCCAGCCTCCATTTCATTGTCAGAGGCCTTCAGGAAATGCCTCTGCTCATGTCAATCCAGAGCTCGGTTCTCAGCTGCAGAGGCCTTTCCAGAACGCCTCTGACGGTGAAATGGAGGCTGGGGGGCACTGCACATGTCAATCCAGAGTTCCACTCCCAGCTGCAGGGGCATTTCCTGAAGGCCCCTGATGCCGAAATGGAGGCCCGGGGTGATGTATGTGAGAGAGTAGCGGCAAGCAGCCACAGAAGAAGTGGGCCGGAAGGCTGTCAGTACTGCCACTGTGAGGTGAGACCATGGAAAAGACATCCCCCGAAAATTAGACCTGGTGCCTCTTTTGTAGGCAATAAATAAATAAATAAAATAAAGTCGGGTCTTATTTGGGGGAAAACATGGTATATAATAAAGTATTGTATGGAATAATGTGAGTAAACCTGATGGATTTGTGAAAATTGAAAACTTTTTGCATGAAAATTTTAAAATCACATTTTCTAATGCGATTCTTTTTGCAGAAATTAATGGAATAACAAATTGCAAAAATACTAAAGGTGTTGAATGTGCTGTGTCTGAATCTTTTCCTCGTGAAGTATTTTCTAATGGTCTTAAGCCACTTATGGGCCTTATTCAACTAGATGCAATGGATGTAAAATCTCACAGCCTGGATGAGTCAACAGATGAAGTTCAGTCTATGGATGTGAGGTACACAATACATTTTCAGAAATAGTATTAGTAATCTAAAGAAGGTAGCAATTCATTTTCTGTACTTGAAGCTGCTTTAAAATTGTATTTTTGAATGTTATAATATGGGATTGTGTTATATCAGAAGACCTACACAGGTTCGCTTCATGACTAAAGTTACTCGCAACCTGGCACTAATTCTTTTAAACATTATTGTTTTAGTGAAAAAGGTTTAGTTAATATATTCCTATGTTGTCTTTTGTTCTTTTATTTCCACCAGCACCTGTAAATCAATATTTGATGTTCAAAGTATCAAATGTATTTAATGTCAATAAATAATATGCAAATGCTATGCATCTGAAGAAGATTCCAGTGTATCATAATGTTTAGAAACTTAGGATAGGAGCTTCTTTCAGTTCAAGGCTTAATATATACATAACACTTATTCTCTTATCCTATTATTCTTCCATTTTAAAATAAGTGAGATGAAATCATTTTTAATCATATGAAGACAGTTTTATTGTCATACTTATATATGTTAAAATATACAGCAATACTTTGATTCTTTTCTTTCTTCAGTCCTGCTTCAAAAGAAGAACTTATATCTATCCCTGAATTTTCACCACTGAATGAAATGATGCCAGGAATTACTTTGGACCAAAATGGATCAAATAATAGGAAGGCTCTTGAAGAACTCCTAGATTTTACTGGCCAGGCCACTTACCCAAAATTAACAAGTGAAAGTATTAGCATAGATGATTGTAATAAAAATTTGATTGATGGATTTAATAGCCCAAGCCAGGAGACAACACTAAGTACCTTATGTTGATAAATACATCGCTACATAGCAATAAGGTATGGTGCTTTCATAGAATACTACTATTCAGCTTTCTTTTCCAGTCAAAAGTTGTTTGACAGAAGTCAATTCATTTCTTTCTTTAAATGTTAAATAAGTGGCTATGCTATCTTTTGTCTTACTTATATTTTCCCTAGTTATGTTAACCACAGCCACATAAGGGCTGGGGAAATGAAAAGGAAAAATTCTTAAACCAGAAAGGGTTTTGGGGTGACAGAAAAGCAAATTCCATCAGATATCTCAAAGTTTTTGAATTTTACTTTGTTTTTTTTAAAAAAGGAATCCATACAATCAGAAGGTGCACAACAGCACACACTTTGAAATGTGAGTATTGGATGTCCATATATTGAAAAACTGTTTTGTTCAGTACATGGACTGAAATATCAAAGAGCTTTTATGAAGAGGATAAAAGGGGAGGAAAGAGGTTTTCTTAGCAATTGAATGTGCAAATATTGGCAGTGGCTGAGGCAAAGCAGAGAAAAGAAGAGAAAGAAGGGCAGATTATGAGGAAATGGCAAGAGTCTATCTGTACATCTGGGAAAATCACTCTGGGATGTCTCTTGATTTTGTTTTGCCTTAAATCTAGAACAAAACTCAATTTCACTGAGGTCCACATCAGCATTATGGTTGCCCTCAAAGGGCCACTTGCTGTCCCCTTCTCTCCCTCAGGCTTGCCCCACAGAAGCCTCTCCTATTCCTTTCTCGCCCTCAGGCTTGCTCCAATGACATCTCTCCTTTCCTCCCTATTGCCTTTCCTTCCCCTTTCTTGCCAAAACCCCTCCTCTTATATCCTCTCCTCCCCCATGCATTTACTCACTTTTCAAGCAGTTTTCATCAGCTGCAGCTGCGTACACTGATTCTGGGGTCCCCGCCAAGCCCCGCAGCTCCAGCTGACTCTTCCCTGAAGACTGTGTGCGGCTGCCAGCCACCCCCAAGGCCGCCAGAAGCCTCGATCAGCTGGAGCAGTGCATGTCAATCCCAGGGCTTCAGCTGAGCCCAGCTACACCACAGTTCCAGCTGACTCTCCCCCAGGACTCTCTGGTGCTGCCGCTGCTTCAACTCACCCCTCTACATAGAGATAATCCCTGAGTTACAACCGTTCCCTTAGTAAACATTCAAAATTACACGCTAAGCACCCCCTAGTGTTTACAAAAAACTCTCGAAATTACGAATGTTGCCGCAGCACGGCAGTCATTCACCCTTACAGACGACTGCAGTGGCACTGTAACATTCACTCGGCTATTTCCTCCCTCCCCCCCGGGTCTCCCTAGGCACTAGGCCTGTGGATACTCATCTTGCAAAGATCAAGAGATCCTTCGCTTTCTTGGCTGTTTCGCTGCTTCCTCTGGTGCATTCGCAGATAATAGAAGCCTAAAGTAACGCAAGATCATGCGAGATCAGTGGCACGAGATCTCACACTACTGATCTCACATGATCTCATGGTAGTTTAGGCCTCTGTTCTCTGCAACAGAGAATGGAACAGAAGCTGGGGAAGAACGGACCTCCAGAGGCACGCAAAATCCCCCCCGGCCTCCGTTCTGGGCATTGGAGGCTTGGAGGAGGCCTCCGAGGCCCAGAATGGGCCTCTGGAGCCCCGCTGAAGCATTCCCCAGTATCCTTTCTGGGCAGCAGCAGCATGGAAAAGGCCTCCGAGGCCCACATGAGGCCTTCAGAGGCCCGCTGAACCGTCCTCGCCATCCTTTCCAAGAAGCAGCGGCCCAGAAAAGGCCTCCAATGCCTCGATTGGGCCTTCGGAGCCCCTCTGAAGTGTCCCCTAGTGTCCTTTCTGGATGGCAGCGGCCCAGAAAAGGCCTCTGATGCCCAGATTGGGCCTTCGGAGCCCCACTGAAGTGTCCCCCAGCATCCTTTACAGGCGGCAGCAGCCCTAAAAAGGCCTCCAATGCTTGAAATGATATCAGGGGACGCTTCAGCGGGGCTCTGAAGATCCGTTCTGGGCTTTGGAGGCCTCCAAGGCCCAGAATGGAGGCCATGGGTGGTGTCCACGTGCTTCTGGAGGTCTGTTCTGGGCCTTGGAGACCTCCTCCAGGCCTCTGAGGCCAGAATGGAGGCCAGAGAGGTGGCCATGTGCTTCCAGAGGTCCATTCTGGGCCTTGGAGGCCTCCCTCTTGCTGGGAGCAGAGAAAGAAACATAGGCTGGAGAAGAGACAGATCTTCACGTGACCCGGTGTGGCAGGATGGGGGGGGGAACAATTGTGGGCCCCCAGGGGAGGGAGTATGAGGTATTTCAGTGGGTCAAGGTAGGCCTTGGGTGATCTGAAGATGACCTGTTCCATAACTAAGCCCTCCATGGCCTTCCCCTCCCTGAGATATCTCATGTTCACTTAACGAGCTGCACTTTCTCCCACGCATTAAATTAGCAAATGCGTGGGAGAAAGCTGGGAATGAATTACGTTCAAGATACAAGATGCCCTCCTTCAAATCCTCAAGTTATGAATGGAATGGGCAGGCTTCTTTGCATTCGTAAGTTGAGGACTATCTGTACTCAGTATTCCTCCTCCTAGTCTGCTTGCAGGTCAGATCTAAACACAAAATGGGCCGTATCTGGCGCATGGATCTTGAGTTTGACATGTCTGATCTAGTACAAAACATTTTGGGTGTAATTTGCTACTGAACTACAACTTTGAAGCCCTCCCCCCCCCCACACAAATACACATATTTGTTTCATGTATAGCTCCATTCTTGGCACATTCATTGAGCATGAATGGGGACCTGGCTCTATCTAGCAATGTCCTTCATAATAACATTCCTTTGTAGATACATGGTGTCTATTTTGTGTGTTTACTTTTAAAAAGAATTTACGCAGTTTTTATATATAAACTCCATTCATAAAAGTCTATCGTATTTCCCTGAAAATAAGACCAGGTCTTATATTTATTTTTGCTCCAAAAGACCCACTAGGGCTTATTTTGGGGGGATATCTTATTTTTTTATGTACAGGAGGCAGCAAGAACTCGGAAGCCAATTGTGTCCGGCAGCAACCACAGCCCGCCAGCCCCTTGGCCAGTGCACTGTGGGGCTGCAACGCCCATGCAACGCAGGTGATTGGGACCACTGCTACTGCCAAGCCGGCCCTTTCTGTCCCACCATGGCTGCAACAGGGCAGGCAACTGCGCAGCACATCCAGTGGACTGGTACCACAGCCACGAGTTGAGGTGAGGCAGGTGGTAGGGCAGGGTTGGCCTAGCTGTGGGTGTGGGGCTCTTGGAGCAGTTCCACCCTGCCACCTGCCTCGTCTCACCTTGTGATGGTGGCATTGGTCTGCTGGACGCGACACACAGCCACTGGGCCACGAGATGCACTGTGCGGCCGCCTGCCCCATTGCGGCCATGGGCAAGCAAACGGTGGGACTGGGAGAGTGAGTAGCTGCACGGGCTTCAGCTGGACGGGGTTGGTGATTCTGGTGCCACTGCAGCGAGGTGAGGCAGGTAGCTGAGCTGGGGTAGCCTGGCTGTGGTGCCCTGAGGTGCGGGTGCGGGACACACGGGGCAGCTCCACCTTCTTGCTACCTGCCTCGCCTTACCTTGTGACGGCATCGGCCTGCCAGAAATGCCATGTGGTTGCCTGTCTCACTGCAACCGCGGGCAAGCAAACGGTGGAATGGAAAGGGCCGGGCCGGCAGTAGCAGCGCTCCCACTCATCTGCATTGCATGGGTTTCACAGGCCCAGAGTGTGCCTTGGCCAGTGGGCTGTGGCTATTCGACAGTTGGTTCCCATGCGCTCGCGCCTCCTGTGCGCACATCAATAGTGTCTTGAATTCATTGGTTTACATATGGTACCTTTACCTCTTGTCCAAAGGCGCCTGCTTGGGTACAGTATGTACAAATACTTATTTATATTTTATATTATCATTTATTTTAAGTATTAATGTTAATAATATTATTTCTTTATATTTAATTATATATTAATATTATTGTTTTATAATTCAATACATCCGTTGTTTATTGCAATGGACCTCTGGCTGATGATCCTAACGAGCTTATTTTTGGGGTAGGGCTTATATTACGAGTGTCCTGAAAAATCATGCTAGGGCTTATTTTCCTGTTGGCTCTTATTTTCAGAGAAACACAGTATTTAGCACTTGGGTTTTCTAGGGATATCTGCCTACCCTTCCATCAATTTACTTAATGTAAAAACAATAATATATTGTATAATAAAATCTGAAAATGAATCCAAATGTATATTACAAAGAATCTTGTGCCCTTTATACTACTGTATAAAGGTTAACAAACTTATATTAGCAAAAACATTTATGGATTTCCAAATTAGCTACATGAAATATTATTACCTGCCATCATAATGGATGAGAGTAATTGAAATAGTTAATAGATGTAGTAATCTGTAACTTAATTATATAACATGATAAGATCTGTATGCTACTTGAAGTTCATCTGCATGAATGATGGCTCAGCTACTCAAGGATAATATCCATATTTGTGATTTCTTTGCTCAAGGTTCTGTACTTTTGAGTATACTCATTGTATTTCTCTTTCTGATCAGCAGAGGAAATTGAGAATATAGAACACTCTCAATGCTGCTATTATCAGTAAAACAAGAGCCTGTCATTTTAAGAAGCTGCTGCAGTCTGCAATACTGGATACCAGGAGCTCTGCACTGAATTTACAGTCTTCCCAAATGAATTGCTGAGTAGTCACGATAAAAGGCGGGATTTTTTTAATGGTTTGAGGAATTTTTGTGGGAGTTTTGTTTAGAATATGGCCTAGTGAAAATGTGAGTCCTAAACATCCCTCTCAATGGATTCCATTTATTTTAAAAGAAAAAAATAATTTTGTCACTGAAACATGGTATGTAAATGATTATTAAAATGAAATATTGCCAATATGCTTGTTTTTACTGAAGGCCCATCTTAATGTCATTTTATAAATATTTCACTGAAGCTCTATAATTGAAAAGGTATTGAAAAATAATATGCAACTGTTGGAATCCAACTATCTTGAAGACAGTGTAGAATTAGAATTATCCCTCAACATGTGGCACATAACAGATTTTATGTTGTTTTAATCAATAACTTAGTTAGTATTACTCTGTGATGACAATATATGCTAAAATTAAAAGGACTTTATTACATGGATCTAAAACATATTTAAGTTTGTTTCTTTGGGATAAAATATTGCTACATTTAATTATGTATATTATACTGCTTCATAAGCAACTGTATCAAAACTGAAATATTTATATTGAAAATAAATCCGTTCTCAATATCAAACTTCATAAATCACTGGAATTCTGAAATTCAGCATTGTAATGACAATAAACAATCTATAGACATGGCAACATACTACTAAGATGTAATTACGAATGCAGAAAATTATATTTATCCAACATGATAAACTGTTAGCATCTTTCACTTAACAAATGTGACCGAAGAAAAGTTCTTGAGATAATCAATATCTTAAAAAACTATAGCTCAGATAAACATTTTAAGAACTGTTGATTTTAACAAGCTCTTATCTAGATTTTTTTTTTTTTTTTTGTTAAAAATCAATGGAACTTGTAAAGGTTTAATTTATCTTGGAAGTTGGCATAAGCAATTTCAGTTTTCAGTGACCTCTTTAATGCTGTGATGTATGCTGCCTAGGGAGGTCAATGTTTGTCCTATTCTATAAAACCAAAATATTTGCTAAAGCTAATGAATTTTTTTATGTTAGACTGTGTTAAACTATAACTCTGTTCTTGTGACCTATTTAATAACAAAAATATGTGACAAAAATATGTGACAATATACATTGCTTACAATACTTATATTAATGTATTTCCACAAAAGTAATTCCTTGTTGGCTTGCAAATATGTTGTGGCATGGTACAATGTCTTTCACGTAATCCTGCAATTTCCATCTTACACAATAAAATATATCAACCTATTATATATGGCTATGATACTGTGATAGTGGTGTTTTTGTTCTTGTTTTGTTTGAGAAATCCTTATTTGGGCATATAATAGTTTTGCTTGTGTGTGTGTTTCTAAAATATTTTAGAAGTTCTATAAGGTTTCCCAAATATCAGTTTTCTACTCATTTGATATATTCTTTCTTCAGCTGTATTAGAAGGCAGATTCAAGAAGATATCCTTCAGTTGCAGAACCTGCCTTCTGGCTCAAGTCATTAAAACCCTGGAGCAGGGGTGTCAAACTGCCGGCCTGTGGGCTGCTCGCATCATATGGAGGCTGCGCCCATCCCAGCTCCAGCAATGCAAAAAAAGTCGCGATACATCGCGATATGTCACGTGGCAAATTTGACACCAATGCCCTGGAGGATCCTGCTTTATTATATCTTTTAGACAAATGTAACTAGCAGTCTAATTAGGAACACTCCTGGTCAGCCTAACTATATGTTATACAGTATATTTTCTGAACTAAGAAGACCTAAGTTGCTGAGTTTTCTATTATCCCTGTAGGACTAAGTACCTGCATATGAATGGATACTTATAGTACATGTCAGCTCCCACCTCATTCTTAGCTTGTGTTTCAAAACCATGCAGTGACAATCTGCCATGAACTATGGTGAGAATGGATGGGAAGGTTGCTTGGGGGAAAGTGAAAGTGACTGCTGCTTGGGGAAAGCAAGAGTTAACTGCTGTCTCTCCCCTCCCCCCAGCTGGGAGAAGACTGCAGCTGCATACCAAACTATGCTTGAAGTGACCATTCTCAAAACATCTTGCTTGAATCGGGGGGCCAGTGATGGGAAACAGCTAAGGAAAAGAAAAGTTGAACTTAGGGATTTGATTCGCAATTCTGGCTATGCACTATTGCAATGCACTTGACTTGTAATAAAACTATACCTTTCTCAACAAATGGAGCCAAGGATCGTTTCTATTTAGAGGTTTAAGTTGTAGCAGGTCTGACAGTACAGTACACTTAATTAAAAACAGGGTACCATGCAATTTTATTGTATTTTTATTCTATAATAAATTTAATCTCACAAAAATGTGATATAATACTTGAGAGATCACCAGGAAATCCCCGACCTGTAGGCTATAGTTGTAAACTGGATGGTTGAAAAAAAATTCCAGAAGAAAACAAAGACAAACCACCATAGGACTATCAGCTTTATGGACATGCACACAAAGTAAGCTGCAATCAAAATCACAACTTGAAGGAGGATTTACCTTACATTAACCTCCAACATAGCATTATATATCAAATTTCACATTAGCACTTATTATGGAAACATTTTAAATATTTTGAATTATTACTAAACTAGTTGCCTGGAACCAGCTTTAAAAGCCCTTTCAGTAGTTATCATTTTCTAAATACCCAATAATGTATATATTGTGCTTGACTTATGTATTAATCTTCCATAAAATAGATTTAAAATAGATTGCTTTAAAGGAATATTTCCAATTAAATTAATTCCTACATAATATTTTAAATTTTAATTCATCAACACATCAAGAATGCATTATTTTGTATTTGGATGAGCAATAGTTCTGAAAATAAATTTTTCTCTTCAAACAACGCATGTTTCACAAAGCCTAACTTAAATGAGAATTTATCATATATATGAAGAAGCAATATTCCTGGATGATGTCTGTCACATTGTAAGCACTAAGTATTGACTGATCCACCCAATGGTTGCAACATCTTTGATTTGCTTTACTCTGATATGTCTCCAGTATTCATAGGGTTATATCCAATTATATAAATCTCTAGCACAAAATGTCTATGAGTTCCAAGAAAGCTGATTTCATTTTTTTAACTATTAATCATTTGATTTAGATTATGAAAGCTATTACACAATTCCAAGTGATTTCATTACACTTGGTAAAATTATACTAATTTACTATTATGATTGTATATTGCTATCAGCAATTCTAATATTTGTATTTGTCGGACCTGCCACAACTTAAGCTTCTAAATAAAAATGATCCTTGGCTCCATTCGTTGAGAAAGGGATAATTTATTAGAGATCAAGTGCATTGCACTAGTGCAAAGCCAGAACTAAAAATCAAGTGCCAAAATCCCTAAGTTCTACTTTTCCCTCCCTTAACTGTCTCTCATTGTCCACCCCAATGCAACGGATCAGATTCAGGCAAGAAATTTTCCTAATGGTCAGTTCAAGCGTAGTTTCACATGCGTCCCCCTTCTTCTTCCAGCTGGGTGACCTTGAGGCAGCTTTTTGAGGAGATACAGCACTTACTGTTATAAGTGCTAATATGTGTCAACTCTACAACAAACCTGACTACAGCCATTTTGCTCGTTCGAGGTTGCCACAAGAATGGGAGGGGCTGTGGAGGATTTCTACTAATCTAAACATTTTACTGTCCTGTGGGAAGCAAGGTCATTTCTGTCAATTAGATGGGGGCATAAGCATTTAGTTAGAAAGTCCGCCAAACTCTTCTATTGGGAAACATAGCTGATTGCATAGCATTGGGATGGGAAGTTTAACTTTCTAATATTGTTTCTCTCTGAAGCGAAATTCAGACTTGGTTTCACTTTTGACTGTGCCAATACTATGTAACCAATAAAGATATTCTTTGAGGAAATCTCAAGCCTCGGAGTTCTACTTTATTTGGTCTTGTCTATCGGAATCTTGACAATAGGGTTATCAATGCTTTAATACAGATGTTTGTGCAGGTAAGAATATCAACCTTGCTGTCAAGGAAAATCAAGCTTTTGATAAGAGTGTGCCATACTATGTGCACTAATCAAACAGGTGGTAAGGAAGTAGGGGAACTCAGGCACAAAACAGGTTATGTAGAAAATAAACACAGGGTCAGTCAAAAAGGACTCAAATGTCTATAAGTATATACCAACTCACAAAGTATGAGGAATAGACAGGGTGAATTAGAAATTTAAGTAAATGAGGGCAAATATGATATTGCTGCCATTATGGAAACTTGGTGGGATGAAACCCACAAATGGAATATACAGCTAAAGAGATTTAAATTATTTAAAAGAAACAAAGTAAATATAGAGGAGTGGAGTTGCATATATATAAGAAATAACTATTTCTCTACAGAAATAGAGCACAACAATGATAGAAACTGTCTTGAATGCATTTGGGTCAATATAAAAGGGGATAAAATGACATTGCCATGTTTACACTAGGCCACCTAACCAAACAAAGGAAATAGACAAACTTTTTACTAGTCAGTTAACTAAGGTACGTAGGAAGCACATTACAATACTAATGGGGGACTTTAACTACCCTGACACCAACTGGGAGACAAACACTGCACCAAGTGGAAGATCAGACAGGTTCCTGACAAACTTAGCAGACAACTTTGTCTCCCAAAAAGTAGAGAAGGGACCTAGGGGATTAGCCATATTGGACTTAATTCTTACTAACAGAGATGAAAAGATAGAAGGTGTTGAAGCTACAGAAACTTTGGAAGGGAGTGATCATGCAATATTTGAATTCAAGCACAAGCAATAGAACATAGTCAAACTAGACTCTTGGACTTTAAGAGAGCTAATTTCAATAAACTTAGAGAGAGCCTGGGAAGGATTCCATGGATGAGAATCCTCAAGGGGAAAACAACTCAAGAAGCTTGGGAAATTTTGAAAAGTGAGATTATAAAAGCCCAGTCTACGACATTACCAATGAAGAAGAAAAATAACAGCTCTCAAAAGAAACCAACATGGCTGCATAAAGAACTCTCTGATAAATTGAAAGACAAAAGGGACAAGTATAAAAAGTAGAAAGAGGAACACATACTGTAACTATGGCAGAATATCAGCTAATAGCCCTGCAAAGATGAAGTGAGGAAAGCTACGGCTCAAAATGAACTAAGGCTTGTGAAAAAAGTAAAAAATAAGAAAAAGCTTCTTTCAACATGTAAAAAAACTAGAGAAAAATTCAAGGAAACGATTGGTCCATTAAAGGCAAGAAGGTGACAAGCAACAAGGAGAAAGCAGAATTACTTAACTCAGTTTTTGCATCCGTCATTACACAAAAAGAAAAAAATAGTCCAACCTATCAAAAATAGTACTGTAAAAGACAGATTAGGAATACAAGTTAAAATAGGCAAGAAAATGGTAAGTGAGCACCTGTCCACCCTAGATGAGTTCAAATCACCAGGAGCTGATGGATTACACCCCAAGGTTCTGAAAGAACTGGCAGATGTGATCTCAGAATCACTAAACTACATATGTTAAAGATCCTGGAGCACCAGGGAACTACCAGAGGCCTGGAAAAGAGCTGATGTAGTTCTCATCTTCAAAAAGGGGACAAAAATAGATCCAGGAAACTACAGACCTTTCAGCCTGACCTCAATACCTGGGAAGATTCTGGAAAAAGATAAGCAATGAATCAGCAAACACCTAGAAGCAAACAAAATAATAACCAAAAGCCAATATAGGTTTGTCAAAAACAGACAAATCTTATTGCCAGACAAATCTTATTTCATTCTTTGACAAAGTGACATAATTAGTGGACCAAAGGAATACTTGACTTCAGTATGGCATTTAATAAAGTAGACCACAACCTACTATCTGATAAGATAGAAAAACGTGGGTTAGCATCATCACCAGATGGATTCATAACTGACCAACCATACTCAGCATGTAGTCCTCAGTGGAGCTGCATCTACATGGAGGGAAGTTTGCAGTGGGTACCCCAAGGTTCTGTTTTAGGCCAAGTGCTCTTCAACATCTTCATCAACGATTTGGATGAGGGGATAGATGGGGAACTCATCAAATTTGCAGAGGACACCAAGCTGGCAGGAAGAGCCAACACTCCAGAAGATAGGCTTAAGATACAGAAGGATCTTGACAGACTTGAACATTGGGTGCTATCTAACAAAATGAAATTAAATGGTGAAAAAAGTAAGGTTCTACATTTAGGCAAGAAAAATCAAATGCACAGGTATAGTATAGGGTGTTTCAATAGTAGTAACTGTGAGAGGGATCTCAGAGTCCTAGTGAACAATCATTTAAATATGAGTCAGTAGTGTGCTGCAGCTTCCAAAAAGGCCAACACAGTTTTAGACTGCATTAACAGAGGGATAGAATCAAGATCACATGAAGTGTTAATACCACTTTATAATGCCTTGGTAAGATCACACTTGGATACTGCATCCAGTTTTGGTCACCAAATGTAAAAAAAGATGTTGAGACTCTAGAAAGAGTACAGAGAAGAGCAACAAAGATGATTAGGGGACTGGAGGCTAAAATATATAAGGAACATACCCGTTGCTGGAATTGGGTATGTCTAGTTTAATGAAGAGAAGGACGAGGGGTGACATGATAGCAATGTTCCAATATTTCAGGGGTTGCCACAAGGAAGAGGGAGTCAAACTATTCTCCAAAGCATCTGAATGCAAGACAAGAAGCAATGGATGGAAACTAACCAAAGAGAGAAGCAACCAAGAACTAAGGAGAAAATTCCTAACAGTTAGAAAAATTAATCAGTGGAACAACCTTCCTCCAGAAGTTGTGAATATTCCAACACTGTAAGTTTTTAAGAAGAGATTGAACAACCGTTTGTCTGAAATGGTATGGGGTTTCCTGCCTGAATAGGGGGTTGGACTAGAAGACCTCCAAGGTCCCTTCCAACTCTGTTATTCTGTTTCCCCAAGCATTCCCCTCTTCAAACCCCTCTCCACAGTTCATGGCAGTCTGTCACCGCATAGCAACGAAGCATAAGCAAGCATAAGATAGCAGTAGACAATATTCTTTTCACTAATAGGATATAATACTGAAAAAAAATCAACTAAACATCTATTTTATTATTAGCTGTTGCAGTGTTTACAATTTATTTTTTCAATATTATGTTGGGAGAATTTCCCTGAGTTCCTAAAATTAAGATGCGGAGGCTGGCTACTTGAAAAGGTCTCTCTATTTGATCCAAAAACAATACAAAGTTTGCTTTGGGAGCAGCTGACCACATCAGTAAGATTTTTACAGGCCTTCTCAGCCCTTTGAATGTAATATATGCTTTTATGGCTGGAGGAGTTTAGAAGAAATATTTTGATATCTCTCTTATCAGACATGATATTTTTGGTTTAGGTATATGATCTTTGTTGTTGTTTTTGGGGGTGTAACAACCCTGGACAAAAGTGTTAAATTCCCATGCCCCTTAGGTGTGGATTGGTTCACTGGCAACAATGTATATCCACTTCTTTTCCAGTGGGGATCTTCTAATGGGGGGGGGGTCAAAATAAACTGTACAAGTAGTACCAGTGGTAGTCTCTAGACCACGGGTGTCAAACTCGCCACGTCACGTGACGCAACGTATCACAACTCTTTTTGCATTGCTGGAATGGGGTGGGCGTGGCTTTGGTATGATGAAAACGGTCTGCAGGCCGGCAGTTTGACACCCCTGTTCTATACCAATGGTTCTCAGCCTGTGGTCCATGAAGATTTGAAGAAATGTTAAATTCTTGAATTAAGTCATGTTTAAATCTTGAATTAAGTCATGGGGGGTCTGTGGCCATGATCTGTGGCCACAAAAGGTATTTAAAGGGGATCTGTGGCGAAGGTTGGGAACCTCTGCTCTAGACTACAAAAGATAAATTTGTATGATTGCTTATGTATCACATGTACAAATAACCATTAACTAGTTACTGTTACGTTTTAGTCCAGCATATTGCACTAATTTAATATAATCTAATGTCCCTATCAAATTAGCTCCAACTAATCATGAACATGATTTGCCTACCAAAAAAGGAAAGGATATTGGCATCGGGTCCCCTTTGGAGCAGAAGAGACATTTCGAGATGGGTAAAACGGTGCTTTTGCATATGGATGAGCGAGCTCCTGCCGCAGCACCGGTAACGGACAGTAAGTGTTTTCCGGTTGAAACCGGTATATCAGGGCAACCTGGTCTACTTCAAATATGGGACGGAGCATACTCCTTCCGCTTTCGCCTTTCAGCCGCAATGTAGGAGTCTTCACAGGCAGTCCCTTCTGCGACAGACTATTTGTGTGTTAAATCTAAATGTACCGACAAAGAATTAAAAGGCAGACTAGTATGGCTAGCTGATGACAGTTAAATAGCTCGAAATAGTTGTACTAGTCTCCCTTTAATTCTTTGTCGGTAAATTTAAATGTAACCGACGATAGTTACAGATTTTTATGATTGTAGGAGAAGCTGAGTACTTACAAACCAGTTTGACCCATATACGTTTAGTGTCTCGTGAGAATTCAGCCAAGAACTAATCAGTACAACTTCCTGAAAAAGGGAAGAACATACAAGCCACAAGCAGCAAACATGGAGAAAGGCACGAGCTTGGCAGGATCAGAGGATGGAAACGCGCAGCCATTCTCTCCCGCACAAGAATCGCCGAGACAGCCAGAGGAGTCTCAATTTTTTTTTTACCACCTACTTCCGGCTCATGTATTTCCGGGGCACTAAGCCCAACTCGTTTTCCTGAGGCGGAATAGGCAGGCGGGCTAGTGGACGGGCTTCTCCTTTCCGCCTTCCGCTTCGCGGGGCGTCTGTTCTACCCCGGTCCGAACCTGGCGGATCCAAGTTGGAGGGAATCCGGGCGCGGCGAGAAGCTCTGAGTGGCCGCTCGGAGAGCTTTTCTGGAGCAGCGGTTACTGGAGGAGGAGGAGGAAGGGGAGGAAAAGGGTCGGAACGGCGGGGCAGAGTAGAAGGTGAGCATCTCCCGGTGCCGCCCCTTTCACGGGGCCTCAGTGCTTAGGCTCGCCGCGGTGGAAAAGCGCACCGGACGGGCTTTCAGGAGCACGTATGGTCTCGGGGGGGCTGAGACGAGATGGCTCTGCGCCATGGTGCTGCGTTCCCTCTACTTTAGACTCTCCAGTCCTGGTTTCGCAATTGGGACGCGCCCCCTCCACGTCCCTTTTCTACCGAGAGAGGGACATCTTATTTGCGTGACTCTTAAGTCCATAATGCGCGGAATCCGGATTTTAGATAGGAATTAGTATGAATTAAATGATGCTAACTGTTGTGACATCTTATGAACTTGCTGTTCTAGGGCGGGGAGAACCGAAACGGTCTCTTTTGTAACTAAGTGAGCAATAATTTTATCAAACTATGAGAGGAAAACAGTTTTCTGAGAGGAATTCCATATTAATGAATAGAGTTATTGCTGTTCTCTTTGTGATCATCACTAGGTTTAGATTCTCTATTTTACGTTTCAATGTGTAACACAAGTAATTTTAAATATGATAGTAATGTGAAAGAAGATTCAAAATATGCCATGGTAACATTTTTTAAAAAAACAAACCATTATAATATATAATGTTAACTCTTACCAAATTCAGGGTCACTTTTTTCTATATCTTATTAAGAGAGAAGCATTTACTTAAGTGATTTGAGCTTTGTACTGTCTTGTAGAATGCCATGGGCTATCTAAATTTGTATTACAAGGAAAAACATTAATTAATGGCAGTCTGTATAAATGATATAGAATTCAGAGCAAAAAAAATATATAGTATGATTTTTTTTCATATGAGTTTGATTTATTTAATTTTTGCACTTAAATAACCAAGCTGATTTAGAAAAAGTAAAATTTATGCCTTTTACAAAAGGCAATGACCATCTCTCATGATTAATCTCAAGCAATTAGTACTTAAGAGAAGTACAGTAGTTAACTGTGTCAAGCCATTGAGAATGTTACCACTTGTTCTATTAACAGTTGCTATAATGCTGTTATTTTATTTCTGACAATAATGCTGCTGTGAAGAAGTAAGTTCTAAAAATCATCAGGTTGTCTGTGGTGGAAAGCATACTAGGGTAGATGTACTTCTAGTTTCATCTAATGGAAACTTAAATAGTATAGAAAATTATATAGGAAGGCATAGTTAGGTTTATTTGAGAGTTTTGATGTGAGTGACCTTTTAAATCTAATATTTTTCTCATTTCAATAGTTTTGTAAATGTTTTTGCATGATGTCAACTTAAGTGTTATTCATTCCACAAAGTAGTAACTTAGTATTTAGTAACTTGGTAACTTAGAATTTAGTAGCTTGCCACTGAGGTTGTTACACTTAGGAAAATTTATTCATTTCAGAGACAAATCTTGCTTAGCAAAGTTTCCTGTGAGATCAGATAATTATAACTAATTTGGCAGATAATGTCTCTTAATGTGGGTATATTTCTGCAAATTCCTTTTAATATAGTTGTTAGAATGTGGTTACATACATCTGTTCTTTCCATGATTCAGCTCTTATTCTATGATAGTCATGGTGTTCATTTTGTAGAGCAGAGGTATTTTCATGCACTAATGGTAATGTTAAATAAGATTTCCATTTGTGTGATTGTTCCCTGAAAATGCATAATATGGTAAACATAACATCCTATGAAGATTTTTCCTAAGGAATATTAGTATAATCCAGAAACCCAGAGTCTTACTTACTGGATACCTTTTGCTTTTTTTTTTTTTTTTAAACAATGAAATGGGTTTAAATTTGTTGATCTTATATGCAGGTGATGCAGATGAGAATTTTAGATCAAGATTGGCACCCAAGAGATAATTGTGAGAGCAATTCCCATAATATGGAGAAAAAGTGACCATTGGATCAGTCTGTGGCTCAGTTTTATTTTTATTTATTAAATATATATGCCACCCATCTCTCTTTTTCCAAAGGAACTGTAGGTGGCTTACAGAGCTGTGAAATCATAAATATAGAATTAAAAAATAAAAATGTAGAGCACAAACAGTATGGGGATGGGCTCTTGTCTATCATTCCACCAGCCACCTTCAGCACAGAGTGCCCCCATTGGGGCCTGAAGCAATGGCAGAGCCAGGTTGTAAGGCCCTTCCAGAAAGCCAAAAAGATGGAAATGGATCTCGTCTGGCAAAATGTTTCAGAGGACAGGAGTCACTGCACTCTTCTTGATCCCGCTAGCTGAAATTTATTGACTGACAAGGTCTGCAGCAGACCCTTTCTACCAGAGTGAATGGGGTGAACCAATTCTATTGAAGCAAGATAGTTCCCCAGCTAAGCAAACCTGCAACCAATGCAGCTCACTGAACAGCAGTGTTACATGCGTCACCCTAGAGGCCTCCTAAACTGTCTGTACCACTGCATTCTGTATTAGTTGTAGCTTTTGAATACTTCATTTTAATCACCTATTTTAAAAAAGTAATTAATAGTAAATACTTAAATATACAGATATTTACATATTTAACATACATTCAGAGCTAAAGAAGCTTCTTGGATGAGAAGCGAAATGTCTTCAAAGAAAAACAAAGTCCAGTTGCCTCTTGAAAAAGCACCTTTGGGATACTTAAATATACAGTGCTCTTTAATTTTGATATTGTTTCTAAAAAAGCTAATTGGAGTGTATTGAATAACTTAAAACTATAGTATGATCTTAACAGAAATATCAATTTCTAGCACATGATTTTTCAAATTAAATGTTATTTCCCAATTTTATTAATCTAGTTTCCATTGCCTAAGAGCAGAGTACAGAGAAGAAAGTCATTCAAATCCAACTGATGTGAATCCTTTTAATCTTGTAATAAAATTGTATTACTTTTGCCTTTTTGTCAGCCTTGAAGAAGAATTTTACCAACTTAATTCTCATCAGTATTTGTAATAATGCAGGAGTACAAAATAAGCCATTTAAATATTGTTTGAGTATACAGGAAATTTGTACAAGGCAACTGGCTGAATCCCTTTCAGGAAACAAACTTTACAAATTACAGATGAGTTCACCCATCAAATTATATAAAAATCAGACTATATAATGTCTTTTGTTTGACTACAGTTAACAGAAATAATTTACAAATGAAGAGATTTTCATGAACTAGAATATATTTTCTTTTTGAACCATAACTATAATGTAAATAATTACTTGATATGTCAATAATGGGCTAGATAAATTTAAATTAGATTTAGACAAGATAGAGTTGGTATAGATCGCAGGTCGGCAACCTGCGGCTCCGGAGCCGCATGCGGCTCTTTGAGCCTTCCCCTGTGGCTCCCAGCCTCCTCTGCCTTTGCAGAGAGAGACAGAGACAGAGAGAGTCAATTGCGCTTCCCTGCTTCCTTCTCTCTCTCTCTCTCTCTCTCTCTCTCTCTCTCTCTCTCTCTGTGTGTGTGTGTGTGTGTGTAAAAGAGAGTGCACTCACAGTGTTCTCTGAGGAGCTGAAAAGCTTACTGGGCAGAGCTCCTCCCTTTGCTGCGTCTCTGCAGGAAGCAGGAAGGGCAGGAGAGAGCTAGCTAGCCCAGCTAGGCTGTCTCAGGAATTCTGGGAGTTGAAGTCCATGAGTCATAAAAGAGACGAGGTTTTCTACCCCTGAGCTTGTTGGACAACAGCTTGAAGCTTGCCAGGTGAGCAGCAGATAGGAGAGGGGGGAGAAAGAGAGAGAAAGAGAGAGGGAGGGAGGGAGAGAGTGTGTGTGTGTGTGGGGGGGAAGAGGAGTGGTAGACCAAGGGCAGATAGGGAGGGAGGGAGAGAGACAGAGAGAGAGAGACCCTTTTGACATCTAAAATGAAGATAACACTGCATATATCCCTTTTTTACCTTTGTGTGTATGTAATTTTATTCTCTTAAAGCATTCTCTTGGTGATCATTGTTTTAATAGTATGGATATTCCCAAGAGTCATATTTTTACTTTTATTTTTAATGTGTGTGTGTGTGTGTATACATACACACACACACACATACATACACAAACACACACACACCCATAATAAAGGTAAAGAAGGATATATGCAGTGTTATCTTCATTTTATATATCAAAAGGGTTTTGCGGCTCCCGGTGTTTTGTTTTTGGTGGGAAACGGGTCCAAGTGGCTCTTTGAGTGTTTTGGGTTGCCTACCCCTGGTATAGATAAACAGAAAGCTGGTTTTGCAAATAAAGTTCAGCCTACTTTGGATAGTCTTACACCCATGAAAGAGCAATTCCATAATATGGGAGTGCTCTTTGAATGATCCAGCTGTCACTGGATTCACAGATAACATGGATTTTTACACAAGATTGAAGTGCCAATAGTGACTTTTCATAGTCAGATTTGGTTACAGTTATCCATACCTTGGTTTCTTTCTGGATTTTCTATTGCAACACTATATATGGGATGTCATAAAGCTTGTGGAAACTGCAGTTAGTACAAAAGATGATTGCTAAGTTGCCAACCAATGCAAGTTATAAGAATCAATTGGTTACTTTTCCGAAAGATCTATTATATTGGTTGCCAGTTGCTTATTGGATATAATTTAAGATGTTGGTATCTGCATATCTGGCATGAACTTGCTTGGGAGATCAGAGGGCTTTTTGACAAACAACATAGGCAACAATGCATTTTGGGAAATTGGTTATATCCTTCATGGTATCTTCCTATGCATACTAGTCTGGTTCAGTGTTTTTCTTACAACAGACTTAGGAACACTGACATCAGACAATGCAAGAGTGGCCTACAGATCCTTTCCTATTATTCTTTGGGTTTTGAAATCTCTTCAAGTATTGTGCATCTTGTTCTCAGGGTGTTCTTGTTTTTGTTCATAGAGCTTCTGTTCAATATGCTGATACTGAATTTTTAGGCTATTGATGTACCTGAAGAATTGGAATGGAAGATAAAAAAATAATAATGCAGGCCTAATTGATTCATTTTAAAACCTGCAGTAACATTTTATACGTGATCATGAATTGTTCCTGTTGTAAACTTTAGGGCCAGCCATCGGGA